GGCGCGCAAGAGCACGTAGTGAGCATCATATGGCTAATCTATATTATATAAAACGCTAATACGTTTTAATTGATAGGCTTCGGCGCGCAAGAGTACGTAGTGAGCATCATATGTCTAATCTGGTGAATTCTCACCAAATTATCAAAAAAATCTCATAAAATTATCTTCATCGAAGCCGATGCTTTACATCCGGCGTTCAGTACTATTTCATATTGTTTTACAACACATGGTTTTAGCCCTCTGGTGGGAAAGACTTTAAAGCAAAAATTACAACAGTTAGTTTTCTCAACAACTGAAATTTAGATTAATGTGATTAAGAAAAATATGTGAACTGTTTGCAATTTCAAATTAATATTGAAATGCACAGATATAGAATTTTCTACAGTGAAAAGTTTTCGGAACTTCAGTGTTCAAAAAAAGTATACGAAAGCTAGGCGTTAAGAACGTATCCAATGAGCGAACAAAGCGAGCATCGGATTGCGAAGCAATCTGAAATGAACTGTGAAAGCAGTTCCGGGTGTTGGCGAGCGCTAGCGAGCAGGGGGCGAAGCCTCCTAGTTTAATTTAAAACTCATTTTATAGTGCTTTAAAGGAAGATTGATTAAAACTATACTTAAAGCATTTAAATTACTGAAGAGAAAAAGGAAAATATTGATATTAAATTTAAGATTTATGAAATAAATGTCTCCGAGATGAAACTTTTTCAAACTTTCATTGCAAAAATGTGGCTGACCTAATCATACACAAAATTGTGGAATTAGCATTTTTTAAACATAGAATAGACAAGAAATAACTCTCTTAATAAATATGGTTATATATATTTTTTTACCTCTTATGAATTTAATTTATTGAATAAAATTCTACTATAGCTCATACTACGATTTTTCCCACAAGCTTAAATTTCTTTAATGGATGCACAGCACACATGATGTACCCGCCTGATGAATCGTTTTGGGTGTCAGATTTCAAAATGAGATTTCTAACCTGCACAAAATTTGCGCACTCTAAAGCAATCACTTCACTGGGAATGCGATGGATTAATGATAGTTAACTTGCGACCCATCGCAGAAAATTTCAATAAGCCTCTGCAGCACTGCAAAAGGCAAACACTTCAAAACCAATTATATTCATTTATTAGTAAAAGTCTACTTTTTTTTATATTTTGTTTATTTATTTTGCTTTAAAAATTGCATAGCCTGTATTCAGCTAAGATCACCAAACACAAAACCAACTGGTATCGTATAGCATAGATTTATAAGTCCTTATGTGCAGAAATTTGTTGTAAAATGCATAATCCATCATGAGTGAAAGCTTCCAAAACCGTTTAGGAATCGTCTCCCATTCATTGTCTTTTGGTTCCTTTCTCATTTCACTAGTATTTGCAACCCATGTTTTTTCAAATGTACTGTGAATGACCGAAATGGATGGTTGTTGGCTTCTACCGGTGAATGTTGACAATCACATAGTCGCTTTCTTAAATATCTAAAATATACACTAGGTCTAGTTAAGTGCCACTACCTGGTATACATTTGCCCGGTACTTTCTGGTATACATTTGCTTCGGCAGATATTAAAATATCGAATAAATATTATAATACAGTAGAGAACCGATTATCCGGAACGATCGGGATTATCGCTATTCCGGATAACTGGTTTTTCCAGTTTTCTGAATCGCTACAAAAAGCCGTTTTTTAGTGTCAAACCCAACTAAAAAAAATATATAAGTTCCAATATGAATNACTGTATTACTTCATCGTTTTTTCTTCTTTTTAAGATTATTTCCTAATATATTTTTTTTAGTTGGGTTTAACAATAAAAAAAAACGGCTTTTTGTAGCGATTCAGGAAACCGGAAAAATCAGTTATTCCGGAATAGCGATGGTCCCGATCGTTCCGGATAATCGGTTCCCTACTGTATTTGCAACCCATATTTTTTCAAAATGGATGGCTGTTGGCTTCCACCGGTGAATGTTGACAGTCACATACTCGCTTTCTTAAATGTCCAAAATATACACTAGGTCTAGTTAAGTGCCACTACCTGGTATACATTTGCTTCGGCAGATATTAAAATATTGAATAAATATTATAATATTGATGAATAAATTAATATCAGATATTTTGCACATTCTCCAAAGCAACTATGTGATTGTTAACATTCACCGGTGAAAGTCTACATTTGCTTGATTTCAGTCATTCATGATAACATGCACATAAGTATAAATCTGCTTCAAAACTGAAAAAAAATTGCTTCAAAACCTATGAAAATTATTTCTCCAAAGCTGAAAAAACACATTTGATGTTTGTGCGCTGTTTTTTTATTTTTTTTATTTGTTGGTCTGTTTTGTTATCTGAAAATACCATCTACTTTCATTGCAATTTATATATGACTTAACATTTCATAGTGTTTTTAATATATGGAGTTAATTTTTTAACTATCAAGCTTTATTCTCATATTTTGTTTTCAGACCACCGATCAGATCGCATATACCCCTCGGTGACAAGCCACAAATCCAGCTCCCTGCTGATAAAAAAGGTGAAGATTACAGTGGGGATAGCTTAGCGAGTGGTAGCAGTGGTTTTGGTAGTCTACCAAGAAAACAAAGGCCAAATTTACTCTGCTCAGGTCTGTTCTTGAACTTCCCTTTTATTGGTTGCTGCTGCTGCTTTCACTGCTGCTATCCCTGGCATGAAACCCCCTTTTCTTTTGTATCTTATGTGTCACATTGCTGAAACATATAAAATTTTAATTTTCATGTATTCAAAGTGCTTAGTGGAAGATATTGTGATTAAATACTGCCTCAAAAAAATAACAGCTTTGAAAATTAAATTGAATTGCATTATTTTTTTTTATAACGTGACATTCTTTTATATTAATATATTCCAAATGCCACATACCATTTTCTTCCACTAAGCTTTTGAATGAATGTGTTGGTTCATTGTCATCTGTGCAATTTTATTTTATTATTTGGTTTTGCATTTTAGTATTTTATTTTATTTGGCTTTTGGTGTTTGTTTTTTTATTTCAGGTTGTTTTGTGTTAACTTTCTCTTGAGTTTTTAGAAGTACTTAAGTTATAAATTTTGATTCATTATGCAACTGAAGCATTATTACATTGCTTTTCGGCTGTTTTGCTTTCTACTTTATAAATCCTTGCTATTATCCCCTCCTCCGTATATTGCTTTCATAGTTACTCTGAGCGTTTATGTATTTATGGTGTGTTGTTTGAAAATATTAGTAATTTATTTTTAAACTTGTTAATTATAGTTTATTCCAATACTTATATATGTTTTTGACCTGCCAAGTTGCCAATCAAAATTAATAAAGAATTAACAACAATTTTCAACTTCTAAAATGTAGAGAATGTTATATTAGTTTACATAAATCGCAAAATTTGTTCTGCTATCTTTTGTGTCAGTGTATCATTATAAATTTTTTTTTTTTTTTTGTCTGCTGTATATTCAAGTGTCTATTTTTTTTTTTTATAATGATGCCTTAATTTTGTGCCATTGTTTAAACTCATAAAAAATGTTAATTTCTTGTCTAAAACATAATTTTATGCTTTCTTTTAAATGCAAAAATTTTTTGGAAATTTTGTTTCACCTAGGGAAAAGAAAGCATGCATTTATCCTTACTACTTACTACATTACTACTTAACTTACGCATACTACTTACTTACGCATTACTACTTAATTATCAATAAAATAATAACATCGGTGGTTACTACTTAATTTCAAAAGGTGAAATTATTCTGGTAGAAGCAAAGAAAAGTCAATGTATAGGTGTAAAATTCAAAATTGTTTCAATGTGTGAAAGATTTAAACTTTTATGACATTTTTATTTTCCTAACTGTGTATTTGTGTTACTAATATAAAAAATTTTTAAATAAGGAAATATTGTTATTTTGTGCTGTTTATTAGAGTTATATTTGCGAAGTATCTCTGAAATATATAAGGTTTTTATGAGAAATACTAATTTATGTAAACTGGAGCTTTTTATTTTTTACTTTAAATTCAATTTTGTAAGTGAAAAGCAGACAAAGTATCCATTTTAAGGTTCAATTTTTACAATACTTCTTCCATTGGCAAAGGTATTCAAATATATATCGATAATAAGTACATTTATTTTCCTTTTAAAAGAAAACTGTGTTAATACATGGATATTAATTTAACACAAGCTAAAATAATATTGAGCACAAGTTGAAATAAAACGTATTAAAAGTAATTTGAAGTCCTAGTTTATCTGAAGAGAGTGTGACAAAAAAAACTCGAAGTTATTGTGTCAGAGAATAGAAGTTAAATAAATTAATTTTAATTATGTGTTCATTTCTTTTTGTCTATCTTTTTGATTATAAAATATTTTATAATATATCTCTTAGTTAGCGTATTTTTATTTTTGGCTCTTTCACAGTGTCAAGCAAAAGATTTGTTATTTTAGAGTTGTTTAAGCAAGGGAAGTGACAGTGTTGAATCAGTAGTTTACTCTCTCTGCATAAGTTTGTAGTCTCCAAAGCATTCGTTTCAGTGAGAATAAGATAGATTAAAGGTGGAAGATTGTGGCCCATTGCTGAAAATTTCAACAAGCTGCCCCTCTGCATTTGTTGCAAAAGACAGCCACTTTGAAACCAAAAACTAATTTAATTAATATTTTTTAATGAAGTTATGCTAAAAATTGTTTGTCCAGGTTTTGCCACCTGTATTATAATGCTATGTAGTCTTTTTGCCTGGCATTATACAAGAAATGGAATGTAGCTTTACAACGACATGGCTTATCTGCTTTAAAGGCAATTGTTCTCTGATGAAACTGTAATTGTTATTGCCATTTATATAAAATTGGACATACCATATATACAAAATTGGAAAGACAATTAAATTTCCAATTACGTATCATGGATACTTTCTGCATTTATATAAAATTGGATAGACAATTAGGTTTGTTTTAAATTATAAATATCTTAGCTCATCTTCTCCCTATATAATTTTATTTTTCATCAATCTTCTTTTTTTCCCCCTTTAAAATCATATACAGATTTACTAATGCTAGAAGATGTTGGCCTTATTTTAAATTGCGTAACAAATTATTTGACATATTTTAACCTTCATTGTAAAACTATTATTTATTGATATCATTTGTTATGTTGAATATGTATTGATAAGTAACCTGTTTGAATGACTGTTTTAACCAAATAAACTCTCATTGTGTAGAATTAGTGAAAGGGACAACTGAGGAATCAACAAAAGAAGATGATACTCTGCCAGATTTTGAAAGGGGTCATTCAAGGAATTCAAGCTATGCGAGCCAACATTCCAAAGCGTCTGGTTATGGCAGTCTAGCATCCCATTCTCGTCAAAGTAGTGCCGAATCTGGTCATCACAGGTCCGTATCTATGAAGAATTTCGCTTTTCTTTTTTATCCATACAATTTGGTCAAATTTCGTAATTTCATTATCACTCGCTAAAGTTTTCAAAATCTAATGAATATGTTTGTAAAAAGTTAAACTTTCGAACTTGTAATGATGATGATGGGATGGTGAATAATGAGTCAGTTGTTAGCTTTTTTGCAAAGTCATTTTGAAATGCTTTTTTATATCTTAAAAGCAATATTCTTTATTATTATTTCAGTAACATTGCCTAATGTAATATTGCATTTTGTATTAGGAATGATCCCTGATTTTTGTACCATCTGAATTTTGTATCCTCATTATTTTTGTATCTTCTTTATAGATCTCTCAATTTTTTTCTAAAAATTTGAAAAAGATGTTTTAATCATTTTTTGATGATTTGATTGATTATTCATCATCTCTTTTTTGCCTAATGACAAAAAAAGCTCTTAGTCTTATTCTTTGCACTCCCCTGTTAGCTGCAGCCATTTTTGCTTCCAGTCAACTAATCCCTCCAGTCAGATTCCTCTCTCTCTCTATCAGGGTGCGTAGCGTTTTTAAAGAGTGCTTAAATGTGCTCATTTTCAATTTTCGTTTTTTAAAGTCCTTAAAGATGCTTTTTTCATTGGGTGTTTTTAAAAAATGCTTAATTTTCCCTTTTTCTAAATGAGATGTTTCCTTTACTATGTTCATTTTCGCTTCGAAATATGCAAAAAGACACAGTTCACATTATTTTATTCAACATTTTCGCAATTAATTCAGCCCCATTCTATTTCGGCATAGTGTCAGCTGTAGCTTATGAAAACGCCATTCGTTTTACTTTATTCAAAATTTCATGATTATTGACAATTGTCAAAAATAATGCCCATTTTTTTTGACATGACGTTTAAAACAAGATAAAACCGCCAATTGTCAAAAACTTTCCAACCCTGCCTAATTAATTATATTTTTTTAAAGTGTTTAAAAATATTTTTTGAGTGCTTAAAAGGTGCTTATTTTTTGTTGAATAATTTGGCTACGCACCCTGTCTATTATCCTGCTCCATTAGGCAGTTTTTGGCATCCTCTGTGACATTTTCTCTCTTGTGCCTGAATATAGAGTGAAACTTGTAATTCTATCTTATCCATTCTTAACTAATGGCAGCACCATCCCCTTATTTTAATTTCTTCAGTTATGTTTTATTTTTGTTTTTTATTATAGCATTTAATTGGTAATGGTGCTAGGCAAAAAAATATTCACAATAATTCCTAAACATTTAGTTTGAAAAGCATTTAATATTTTAGCATGTGCAGACAGTTCCCATGTTTCTAAACCATGCAAAAGAACTGATCTTATTAATAATTTTAATTGCATTCTTAACATCATATTTGAGCTCTTCCCTAGTTTATTCAGATTTTTGAAGCAATTGCAAGCTTTTGCAATTCTATTTTGAATTTCAACATCAGTTCTACTTTGGACTCTTATCATTAACACTCTGATATAAAAATTCTGCAACATTTTCTACAGATTTATTTTTAAGTTATAGGTTGTCATCTTTATTACTATTAATTCAAAGGATCTTAGGTTTGGTTCTATTGATTTGTAATCCAATTAATTCTGCTTTTTTGGCTTGAACAGTTTTCTTTTCTGTAATTCTTTTAAGTTTCATTGTCTGTGAAGTCAAATCTCCAGAACAGATGTAAAATTCTACTCAATTCCTAACTTTTCCTCATTAGTTTCCTTCATAATCCTATCTACAATGAGAAAAGTCCTGATAAAACAAAGCTTTACCTAACTCCAGTCTTAACTAAAAAGAAGGCAACTGGTTTCCATCTACTTCAACACAATGCATAATTTTCTGTAGTACTCCATAAAGTTCTAAAATTCAAGTAAAAGTTCTTATTTGAAAGCCTTACTAAAATCAATAAACTTAAAATAGAGCGTAGCATTATATTCAAGACATTGTCCAATTATATTTCTGAGTGTAAATATGTGTTGCACAGTACTATTACCAATCCGGAACCTCTAATTGATTGTTAGAAATGTACGATTAAAACATATTTTGAAATAAATAAACAATTCTTTCAAAACAAAATTCTTGTATATTGTTATTTTTTGTTATATCGTTATTTTTTGACAGTTACTTTTGTATCTGGGTCATTCCGAAAATATCTATCATTTCTGATTAAAAGAAGTTTGAAAAAAATCTGAAAAAAAAACACTTTTTTTTCAAGGCTCAAATACATTTGCAGTTGTTAACTATTTATTCAGGAATAGAAATCAAGCCTTTAAAAATGTCAAACATTTTAAAACTGTTTAATCACTAAGATATCTGCGTTAACATGGTAACACCGGAGAGAAGTAACATAAGGGACAGAATGGAATTTAAATTATCTCTCAAGTTACTGTTTTTATAGAGACAAATAGAATTTTTTCTTTTAGGCATTTACAATTTAAGTACAAAATAAACTAAAATTCCTATTTATAGTAAAAATCTGTAGTAACATAGGGGACATTTTACCTCAAACTTTTTGAATGGTCTGATTTATTCTTCAAATTTTATTTGTTGGAAAAAAAATGGCTGCTTAAAAATACACTCACAATATGAAATAAATAAGTCACTACTATTGCTAACTGAGTAATTATAGTTTAAATTTTAAGAATAAAATAGCAACACATGTTAAAGAAAACAAAAGTAGTTAAAGTACTAAAATATATCATATAAAAAATCGCAGGGGATGATATTTAAGAACACTGGTAGTTTGTAAAGACTATAATTCATAATTTAAAAATCATACTACATTAAAAATAAAAGGTAACTTAGAGAGTGAAATATGTTACTGGGACATGGCATTTTTCAGAATATAATTTTTTATAATTCATTAGAACAGATAAAAATAAAAGTAATTTAAAGTTTTAGAGTTGTATAGAAGAAAATAAATCTGAAATTATGTATTGCCTAAATTTTATTTTGGTATAAAATGGTAAGAAATATAGCAAGAGAAAGTGGTGAACTCCAAAGGTGTACTTTATTTTATGAATGACCTACCTATGTAAAAATCTTCCTGATTTTCATTTTATATATTGGTGTTTGGAATTTTTTTAACTGGTTGAATTTTAAAGCATATTATTGATGGTGCAAGGGGTGTAATTATAATACTTTCTTTGTACGAAACAAATTTGCATTCGTGTTATATTGTACTGCTTGTGCAAAATATTTTTCACAATAACATAAACAATGTCTATTTTGTGGCTTTTAAAGCAAATGTCATTTTTTATATTTATAATCAGTATAAAATTTAAAACTTGTAGACTGAGATGGGTTTTTTTTTTTTTTTTTTCAAATTTATAATATTAAATATTTACCATAATTTACAAAATGAAGTATTTTCACTCTGAAAATACCACATAAGTAGGATTAAACTTAATATAAATATTTCTAAATGTTAATATATTTATATTTAATAGCACATTACTTGAGGCAATAATTTTTTTTTTATGATTTAGAAATCCCAGTTCCAGCTCTACTTTTAGTGATATGGGACTTGTTCCTAAAGCTCCAGATCGAAAAAGACCTTCAAAGGTAATCATTCATTACCTTATATTCATTAATATTTTTATTTATATTCATATGTCTATTAAACTTGACTTGTGGCATTTCTTTTTTTCTTTTTTTTTCCTTGACTAAAGTTTGTAAAACTAAGTTTGTTAAAAAAAATGTCTCTATTTAAGTAAAAATTTAAAAAAGAATAGTTTTCAAATAAGTTTTTTACAACTTTTTATGAAACTTTAAGCTCATAATGTTAATTTCGATTTTGTTTTGATTCATTTTACTCAACTAATTTAAAGAAATCAATTTGATAAAAATATGTATGTAAAAAAAATTAACATAAAAATCTTAATTTAACTTTTTGCACTTGCAAAGTGACCTTTTAATAATCTTTTATTTTAAAAAATTTTATTTTGGAACAGTCTTAATTTGCAATTTCTTATCTTTGAGATTGTATTGCCTTTAAATAAGGCAAGATATAGGTAGTTTTAGTTTTTTTTACCTTGTAAGTTATTTTAATGATAATTCAGTTTGTGCTCCAAATTTCTGAGTCATATCAGTCTAGAATTCGCCTAACTTATTCGTTATTTTAAATTTTGTAGCTATATATTGTTTTGCATATAAAAGTTGAACATTTCGCTTTATACATACCTATAAAATTAAAAATAACAAGAAATGAATAAGTTAGGCAATAAACACAATAAGAGAGTAAATAATAAAAGGTTTCAGTTCTTGTTAAAATTTTTAATTTATTATTATTTAGTTCCAATTTCATATGCTATTTTCATAAAATTTTTAATTGTCCTTTATGTTTGAAAATGCTAAATGGATATTAAATTGTAAATAAGAACATATTGTAATTAAACTAAAATTTTATGAGGTATGTATTATTTTATTACATTTAAAAAAATATCATTGACTGCTTAATTGTAAACTTTCGAAATTAAATCCAAAGCAATATTTTTAAAAGAGACAAAGAATATTTTTTTTTCTCTCATTTTAATAATATCATGTAAAATTGTGTTTTTTACATTAGAAAACATAGCTCGATGATTACTGTTACTACTGACAGGGTCAAATTATTACATAGCATTGTTCTAATGTAGCTTTACAACGACATGGCTTATCTGCTTTAAAGGCANGAGATCTGGATCCAGACAAAATCCAGCCAAAGATTGATTATTACAATTTGTGTAATTATTGTTGAATTCGAATCACATAGCATTGTTGTTCTTGTATATTGCAAATTCTAATTTAACTAGGATTTTTTTTTTATGTAAATTTCTTGAAAATATTTCAATTTATACTGTTGGAAACTAAATGTCTGTCTTTAAAAACTGTATTCACATGTTAGGGTTTTTAAAATTCTCTTTAATTTGAATTGTTTAAAAATTGCATTGAAGTCCAATATTTAAGGTGCACTTATATTGTTTAATGAGTCACCATTTATTGATAAGTGAATATTAGCATGTGAGAGGATAAATAAAAAAAAGGTATTCATTGAAACACCCAGTCAATGGTGTTTTATTACAAATCTCTTAACAGTTAATTATAGTTCATATAGCTACTTACACTTTTCAAAGCAGGAAAAATAATGTCAATCTTGTTTCTGCTCTAAAAAGATGTTTTGCTAGAAGTAGAAATCAACATTTCTTGAGTATAAAAATAACACAGTAATTGAATTTGAATTGAGCGAATTGAAATTTGAAGAAAAGATCACTTGCCCTTTTTTTTACAGTTTCAATATTAATAAAAAGGCAACTAAATAATATAAATAAATATTGAACTATAATAATGAAACATATCCTGTTTTTTTTTCTCCATTATGACTATTATTTTGGAACTTTTGAAAAACTCATGTTGAATACTCAGATTATCGTAGGCTAACATAAAGGGGGGGAAACGAAGTTTGACAGTATTCAGGGCTTCCATGGGTCAGGGAGAATTGGAAAAACCTAGAATGATTTGGGAATAGTCTGGAAAAATTGCAATTTTTACAAAAACCGGGAAAATTCCTATATCTTGCCTTTAAAATAACCAGTCTTTGAATGATCAATAATAGTAATCAGTTATTGAGATTGAAGTTCAATAATTCTGATATCTATTACTATTATTTTTTGTAAAAACTTCGCATTATAGTCAAAATGACATGTTCCCATATAATATATTTTCAATAATAATCATAATTCAATAATATATTTTCTACTCACAAAATCTAATATTTGGCATCACAAATAAAATTCGAAGAAAAATTATAGGGTATAGATAAAATAAGAACTTTATTGTCATTGAAATTTAACTGATATACCTGGGAAAGCCAGCGAATTTTTATTTTATTTATTTATTTAGAAATTGAGTGATAACCTTGGGTACTACATTTTAGAGTTTTCCAAGTTGCGGAAAAATGAGCAGTGCAAATGTAGATATAATCTATTTGCTCAAAATGTGAAGAGGGATAAGTTCCATATCTTTTAAGCTTCAGAATTCCTCAAATAATACTGGAATTTGGATTTCACTTCGGTGTATGAATCATGCTTGTAGCACTTGTAGTGGTAAAATTATTCTATTGAGGTAATTTCTAAAATTTGAATGCTGAAAGTTGTATTTATTGTTTCCAGAAACAGCCAGTAGACGAGGGCCGGATGGATTCTACGAGAGTAAGCGCTAAAGAAGTTATAAATGAAGTTTTGGAAGCAACAAATTTAGAACCCGATGAGTCAGCTGAAAGTAAGCATATGTAATTAAAAATCATCATTTTGGGGGTAATGTTGTCCATTAGACGGGTACTGTGCAGTATAATGCAGTTAGAATAACTGTAAAATACTAAACTGTTTCAGCAGAGCCTTCGTAAAGGTAGGAGAAGCAGGACATTTGTTCAAAGCAATGCACAAAGAATATTAATATATATATTTATTTCAATTATATTAGACAATAGCTGAGTGAAGAAGGCTCCAAATTTCTAGAGATCCTCACACTAGAAAGCTGGTCATAGAATTACAAAATAAAATGTGTTTAAAAAAACTATGATGATTATGCTTATGTAGTCCATAAAGTTAAAACTTCTTCACCTTCAGTATATGAGTGATGGAACACTAACAATAGTGTAAAATTTGAAAAGAAACTAGGAAGAAAAAGTTAATAGATTTTTCATTTGAGGTATTAGAAATTAAAAACAAAAAATAATACAAACTAATTTTGTTTCAATAAAGATAGAAGTCATAATGGATCTTAAGTGATATTTTTTTTAGAGATCTTTTAGAAGGGGAATTCCAGCCTGAAAGCCAGAAGGGTTCTTCTAAATCCAGCAACAGCTTTGTAATTGTAATGTGTATTGCAGGTCAGCCAATTTGTGTGGAAAGACTTTCTAATATATTTCTTATTTCTTCCCTTTTTTAATTTTTTTTAAAACATGTGACTCTAATGTCTGAAAGTGGCATCTTAAAATCATAAATTTAATTGTATTTTTTTTTTTTTTTCCAATTTAGTTTATAAAATAATGTTGATTATTGAAAAATAGCCATGCAGTCAATATTTTTCTTTCACAATCATAGCAAAATTTAACCAGTAATTTAATCTAAACTTAATGACTGATAAAAATTGAATCCTAGGCTTTCCGTGAAAGGATAACGGGGGCTCCAAGAGTTAGAAATATTTGTAATATAAAATTTAAAATCATAAAATTTATATCCAATCAATAATCCATAATTTACTTAATATTTTTCTTGTTTATATAAAATTATATATGTAAAATGCAAATGAAAGAAGTAGCAAAATTTGAAATATAATTTTTTTTAATAAAAATATATTGAATAAATTATGAAAAGGATATGTATTTGTAAAAATTTCAGTAGTGTATTTTATCAGACTTTTCAATACAAAATAAACTGTCTAAATTCTAGAATAAAGAATTACGTTTTTCTAATAACTATTCTCCTCATTTACAACAGTTCTCTTTTAAAATCCATCATTTAGCTTATTTTATTCATTTTCAACGTTTGCATACACCAAAGAAAAATCAATAATATTAAAAATTTCAATGTACACATTAAATCTGTTCAAAATAACTGTCAGACTTTTTTTTTTTGGTTAGTATATTCACAGCTGCTTATAAACTTTCCTTTCATTATGCCTAAGGGTTGTACCAAAGGAAACTTAATCCTTTAGGGTTCCATAGCCAAAAAAAATTAGGAACTGCTGTCCTAGGCGATTGGCTAAGGGAGTTCTTTAGATAAAGGCACTATAATTTATGAATTAAGAGTTTTTATGATACTAAATAGTTTGATCTCAAATTGACTTCCTCACCAGTATTTTTACTAATGTATTTGTACTCTCTTTTTTTTTACAGCGACTGGTCTTGTATTAATCATCAAAGATGATGGCACACCAGCCTTAAGCTCACACGACTTGACTGAACGCAGTGCTGGTCACTTCGATCCAGTCATCATCGGTCACAGGTAGCGTTTAATGAGTTGCGGAGCAGTAGATGCCAAGATCCACCTCTTAACGAGTTAAAAGATGTTGTCTAATAAGCTGAAGAAAAATGGCACAAAATTTGATAAAATGCCTTCTTTTTAAACAAACATTCATACGAAAAAAAATCTTTTTAATTGTGTTGTGACTTAGAAAATGATTGTTTATTACAAAGATTTAAAAAAAGAGAGAAAAAATATTTAATGTCATGAGAAATTTGCATTTTTTTAGCTCTCACTGCGAAAGTTTCTGTGTTTGTTGGCCAAAAACTGAACAAATGTTTTTTAATGTAAAAGTTTTTTTTAAATGAGCCATAGTGAAGTTTGCTCATGTGAGCTTAAGTAAAATCTTACTTGTATGAACTATGATAACTTTCTATTACTGTTTTTCGTTATCACAAACTGTTTGTTCATCAGTTGGGCACTAAACTGGAGAGCAATTGTTTTTCTCTCTGCTTAAATAAAAAGAGGCATTCAAGTATTAGGTAAGAGAATACTGGACTATTTGGAACTCTGCCCTGGTCAGCAAAAATAAGTAAATTACAAACCCTCTCCAATGCTTAATCTTTTTTTTTTACTGTGGTATTTTAATTTTAGGATTTAACTAAATAAATAATATGACTTTGCATAAAACAAAATTAATTTTACAAAACTTTGAGTTGCATATTTTTTTTTTAATCTCGTGTTTTTTTTTGTTTTGTATTTTTCTGTGATTAAAAATTTTTATCTCTGAAACTCTTAGGCGAAAAAAGCATTATTCCCAAATTGATTTTTTTTCTTACATTACATTTCTCTTATCCCTCCTCTTCTCTTGTCAAAAAAAAATAAATAACTCACAAATATCCTCCCCCATTAAATATTTACATAACATTTGACCTAAATGCACATTTTAACTATGCATAGTAATTCAACAATGTCTATAGTAGTTGTAAAGTCTTTTTCTTAATACTATGTTTTGCTGGAATAATTAATCAATGTCTGAAAATTAAATGTTAGATTGTAAACTTATTACCTATTACTTGCCGCTTTCCCTTATTTTGGGTAAAACTGACATTTAATTAGATTGACTCTTATTTTACACCATTATATATTTATGTTTTGAATTTCCAAAATTATCTTTAAAATATAATCTACTTAGATTAAAATATTTTGAACTGTGTAAATTATTGGCAAAAATTTTTTAATGACATTTTCTTTCTAGAATTTAAATTTTTAGGAATGCACTACTATTAAATAATCTGTTCCTTAACATATGCAGAGAGAAGATGATACCTAAACATTAGGGATTTTTAAGCATAAATTTGAAGGAACAAAAATGTGTGTTTATTTTATTAAAACTCTTGGTTTTGTGTCCTAACTTTTGCTCTAAATAGTTGTGCAGATATTGTAACTCATTAAATATAGCTTTCAAATTTAGCATTTTCTGATTTATTTTATGTGTATGTTTTAATTTTCAAAAGCTTTATTAATTTTTTTTAAAATTATTTTTAAATTGTCCTGAAATTAAAGAGCTTACATATTTATGCTCATTTTAAGCCATAACTGCTTATAATTCTGTAATCATAAGTGTTTGAAATTTTTTACTACTTTAGCTATAGAAAATATTTTTTGTTGTGAAATGGAAACTTTAATTGTATGTAATCTTGTAAGTTGTTATTGAATTTATGTCTTGTCTGTGAAATTTAGCTTTGGAAAATAAGTACATTTTAGAATTTTTTGATATCTTGTTGTATAATCCAATGAATGAAATTAACCTTATATAAACTGATTTTTACGAAGTCATGTAGTGAAATGTTTCTTTTTATTATTAATTCTAAGTTAGATTTACTTTATTTTCCTTACTTGGCAAGTTTTTTAATTAAAAATTTTTTTTTATCTTAATTTAAAAATTTCTTAAAATTTGTATTGATATATTTATATTGTTCATATTTAAAATTGAGGTATCCGAACTCGAATTTTGACAATTTCTTTTTTGTTTTGCTGAAAATTCTGTCTGTGTTACATATTGTTTTGTTACATCTTTTCCACGTGCTATTTCACTAAATTTATCACCAATGTAAACTCATAATTGGTATTTGCCATAGTTAAAAATTGATTTAATAGCATTATAACCTAAAAAGGAAATTTTTTTTTTCACTTTGTAGCTTATCAAATTATCTTTTGAATTTTCTTATCAAATTATCTTTCCTTAGTTTGAAAGATTTAAAGACTAAATATTTAATAAAATATTGAAGAAAAATAAGTATAATTTGTTTTTGGTTTAATCTGTCAAAAATAGAGATGGGTTTAACTGTCAGTGCAAGGATGGTTTTTTGAGAACTTAAAATTTCAAATCGTATTTCTGTTACCATGTTTAATCTTCTGAAAAGATGTAAATCTGTAGAATCATTACTAAAAATTTTTAATTATGGTTTGAATTTAATTAACATTAAATGTTTGTTTTTTTTTAAATTAAAAAATATCCATAATCAGATATTATATTTTTTATGTATGTTAATAATGCTTCTTACGTTACCTTTGTTTTTTCATTAAAAAAATTTAATTTTCAAATAAAAATATCAGTTTTGTGTAAAAAAAATTGTTTTGTAATGGAGTATTGAATTAATGTGTCAATTTTTAGTATTCTTGATAACTGAGCAATTATTAAATTGCTCAGTTATCCTGCTATTAAGTTGCTTACCATCAAAACAATTGAGAAGATATACTGTAAAATTTGCATTTGTGAAACTTGTCTGTGTAATATTTTATCTTATTTTCATGGCAGCTAACATTAAAAATGATAATAATAAATAAATAAAGTCCTTTGTTGTAAAGTTCTTTAAAACTGTTTTAATATATTTGAAACACATATTAGGAGTGCACAACACGTTTTCAAAAGTTGGCTTCAAAAGCCGCTGTGAATTCAGTTTTTGTATAAATTGATAATAACATAATTATTCCTTATAGCAAGAATCTATAACAATGGGTAAAAATTCTTAGTCTTTCTTTTGTTCCCACGGGTTTTGCACCTGTGTGACTACAAAAAAAATATTTCAGTTTACAAAGAATGTAAAAAATACAAATTCATCTTTTAAAAAAATTATTTTATTTATGGTGCCCGCTATCTGACCAATATTCTAGAATATACTTTTGGTAGAAAAAGGTTGAAGACCCCTGCCTTATTATACAGTATACTCTTGATGCACATAATGTTAATTTCAATTCATATGTGGAAGGTTTCTTTCTCAAAACTTTGTTACGTCAAAAAAAATTTTGAATTAGAAAATGAATTTTTTTGGAAAAATCATAATGTAAATTCATTATGAACCAATAATTTTCTACTTAATGCATAATTATTTTTGTCTTACTTTTAAAAGTAAATTTATAAATATTGTATTTAGACTTACAGTCAACTATCATTAAATACATATTTATTAGTAGTTGTTCTTATGTTTCATAACTCTATTTTTTAGAGTCATATTTTAGAATATATTTTTTACTTTTTAGAACATATTTAGTTCTGAACTTCCTATCTCGAAAACTCGCTATCTCGAAATTTTTTTAAAAGTTCCTTAAACTTTAAGATATTAATTGAGAGTATACTATAATGCAACAATATAAATCATCTTAAAAATTGAAAGTATACATATAAATAATTTTGAATTAAAACACTTTTGAATATTCACATACTTTGAACCCTTTAAGAAAATTCAATTATAATAAATTTTCGCCTTTCTTTTTTTTTTGTTAGAAAAAATTAATTTTATTATTTAACTTACATTTTTAATTTGTGAGTAAATTGTTTAACAACATTTGTATTATACATTGTTAAAAAACATTTATTTAAAAGAAAAATTTTAACAATGAGAGGCCTAATTATTTTGACATCTTACATTTTGAATTAAAATACTATAATTTTGGCTTTTTTTTTCTTTCAATTTATTGAAATAAGTTTTAAATAATTTTATAGCAATTGTCATTTTTTCCAATCAATAACAAGTTGGAAGTAGAGAAGCCCACATTCACTATGGATTGTGCACACCTAACTAACTTTTATTTTCAATTCTATAATTGTTTCATTGATATACACTTTTAAATATCCTAACTATCTTTTCCCCTGATTTTCTTGAGCATTTGTATCAAAAAAGTTCTCCATTTTTGCTGATATATCTCTTATAAATCTCTCTGTTGTTAAAGAATTTAGTATTAGTTGTCTTTTAGTTCCTGATTTTTTGTTCCCAAGTTTTTCATTTGTTACTGTTATATATTTCTTAGTTAAATGATGAATTAACATTTGTTATACATACAAGTTAATTAACGTGTTTAAGATTTTTTTTTTATTAACTTGTATTTTACTTTTAACATTTTTTTGGACATTTTTTTTCCTCTTACCTGAATAGTGTAGTTATAATGAATAGTATTCATTTATCAAACATTATTATTCTTGTAATTTTTTTTGCCTATATCATGGTATATAATAATTTCTTAACAAAAATTTAAACTCATCTTTTTTAAAAAATTATTATTAATTTGTAATATAAATACTGTGTGAAATATCATGATTTAAAAAAAATCAGACTATTTTCCCTTTTTTATGTATGATATTTTTTAATTATATTTACCTTTAATAAAAAATTAAAATTATGCATTGGTAAGTTTTACTAATTATTTGTCAAATAATTTTCCTATTCATTTATTTTGCCAGTAAAATTTTTAAATGACAGTTTTTAATCTCTTTACATCATGCTAACTGGTCTGGTGAAATAATTACTTAGAATCGCGGCAAAATTAAACATCACTTTATTTCAAATGTTTTATTGCTGCAAAATCATATTAATTAGTTAAACTTATGTTTAGTTGTTTAATGAAAAAGGCAAAATAGTTTTTCCATGTGGGACCAACATGTATGATCATTGATTTATCATTGTTTCTAAGGCAAAAATTATGCACTGTTACATTATTTCATACATCGTTATTTGAAATTAAATCATTTATTTCAAATAAAGTTTTTGTTCATTTGCAAAAAGCATTGTGTAATTTCTAGGGAGTTTTTCTTTGGGTACCGAAGAGAGTGGGGTTTGTTTATTTTCTCCCATATTGAATGCCTGCTCTAAACACTACTGGAATTTCTGAAATTTTAGTGTTTAAAGCCCTGTAAATTTAAAATTTTTCACGCTCACCTGAATTTAAAAGAAGTTATTTTTTAAACGTTGTCACAGAAGTTCTATATTTTTTTAAATAAATATGTTGTTTTATTGATTAATTATTATCAAAAGTTATAATGTTTTAGATGCATTTATTTGTGCAAAAGTTACTAAATAGCCACTAAAGTTTCTAATACAGTATATTCTTGATATCTCAGAAACCTTGTAACCTTAAAAAAATATTTTTCTCCTTGGCATTATATATCCTCCTAAAGTTAATTTCAATGCCTATGTCGAAGAGTTTCTTCTCAAAATGTTCTATCAAATTTTTTTTCAATTTAGGAAATTAATTTTTCCGAAAAAAACACAATGTAGATTTATTGTAAACCATTTCTTTTCTATTGAATACATAATTATTATTGTTGTACTTTTAAAAATAAAATGATCATTGTTGTATTTAGGCTTATAGTCAACTATCATTGCAAACATATTTATGAGTAGTTATTCTCATGCATCATGACTTTATTTTTTAAAGTAATATTTTTGAATATAAATTTCTACTTTTTAGAATATAATAAGTTCTGATCTTTTTATTTTAAAATATCACTATCTCGAAATTTTCTTAGTGTTCCTTAAACTTTGAGATATCGAGAGTATGCTGTATTTTAATATAAATAAATAGGTAAATTAAAAAAATTTAAAGTCTGTTTTTTTTTTCCAGTATCTTGTAGCAGATATTTGAAATATCAAAATTTTATGTTTTACATGTTTAAATTGTATATCATAATAAATGTTTTCATAATGTGGCAATACTTTTTTAGAAGATTCTTAATGTGTATAAATTTACAAACAAAAATCTGTTGGACCTTATGCCAAAAAAAAAATTTTTTTTTTCCTTCTTATTGGAAAAGATTCCTTGGAAAGATTGATTTTATTTTCCCAAAAAGAATTTTCTTAAAATTAAAGTTTAAACAAATTATGTGGGATATTCATAACACAACATAATCCTTATCTTTACTAACACTGCCATAATATGTATTAGATTAATTACATTAGAGAATTTCAACACATCATAATAATAGTTTAATTTTTTAGCTAGGTATGTGTAATAATTTCATGTTTGGTGTTGCTTGTCAAAACAATTATAATCCACAGAATAGAAGTTTTTATAATAATATTTGTACAGTGTTCATTTTTCTCTAAATTACTTTTGAAAAAATTTTATTACTTTGAAGAGTTGAATGTTGCTCACAAAACAACTTTTTCTGTGATTATTTTCAATATTAGGATCAGGATGTCCAACCATTTGGTTAGATTTGATGTAGTAAATGAAGTATTGATGCAAATTATAAAGTACCTTGTTTAGAGCGATGTAGATTTCAATCTATTTTAAAGAGGTTAATGAAGTCTGGTTTTATTTATTATTTGAACTTTAGGAAAAAGAAATCTGAAGTTAAGAAGTTTTCAAAATTTTGACCACCGGGTGAAAGAAGAAAAAGTTATTAATGAATAGCTTGTGCTCAATGTGCAATTTACTTTCGCTAAACGCAGGTTCAAAATGCATTACAGCTTGCTCATCATTGGCTGGAAGGATTTCTCGATCTTTTGAAGCAGTTTTATGTTTCGCTTGGTTTCAATAAAAAATTGCTTCCGTCCTCTTTCGCAGCACGCATTCTCACCTCGTCTCTTAGAATTTAGTTATCATCTTATTCAGTTTTTTCTTTTGTGGAATGGTGCAGAACGATTTTATATCAGTGACCATTGGCATAATAAAATGTTCCAATGGCATTAATGTGTCCTTTCTTGTTAAAAGCACCGTCTAACAGTCAAAATGTTAACTTTTTTTTGCACTTATCTTTTTTCTATCCCATGGTCCATATAACATATATACTAAATTTTACCGTTATCAGTCCTTTCTTTATTCTGTTACATTTCTTTTGACATATCTTCATTGCAGAAGTTATTATGACTCAATATCTTAAAAAATATTTTATTGTTGAAATAAATTTACCACTTAAAATGTTATAAACTTTTTTTCTAACGTCTGTTATAGCGCTGTACGATAAAAGTAAAATAATATAATACATTTGAAGTATATTAAAAAAACTGGCCCCTTAAAAGCCGCAATGGGTTGGACCATCCTGCTTTAAATAGCCATCTACAAAATATATAGTTAGATTTTCTTTTTTTTTACTCTTAGATGAATGATGGTGCTTCAACTCTTACTTCCATATTTATATTACTTTATTGTGCATATTTTAGTCCATTAATGGTGTAAAGTATTAATTTTATAATAGTTGCAATTTAAAGATTGTCATTTGTAAACCATCATTGATCTGTTCCAAAAAAAAAAATTTTATACACATGTTGTAATATATGTACCTTTACATGTTAAGGTTTATTGCTGACAAAATTTCTACTGGGAGTCAAATTCTCATGTTTTTGTAAATTATGAAGTCAATGTTGTAGTAAATGAACTTCATCCATGAATGAATAAATATGTATATTAAGATTTTAATTATTGTTATGTATTTAGACTTTTTCCCCTCCCAATATGTAACTAAACTGATATGTCTTGGCAAGAAACTGCTGGTAGAGTGTAGTTCATATTTTTTTTTCATGCTTTTAATTCGAACAAAGCTTTTGTAGTGTGTCATTGTTATGTGTATTGAATAATCATTAAAAGTATTTTATTGAAATTCATTAATTTGCATAAGGATACCAACTCAGCTTGTGGAAACTTTGAAAATTTTCATGTTTTTACTTTGTTAGAAATAAAAAGAAATGTTTTTTGATACTTAATGTTTGTTTTGTGTCTTTTTAATTTATTTGTCTCTGAAAGTATGAAACAAATTTTGTCTTTGAAAGATATTTTTTTAAACACTATTATGTTTAATAAATAACAATATTCCCATGGGGTCAAGGATTTTTGCAAATTGTTGCCAAAATATGGAATGTTAGGCAATCTTGAAATTTATGGTAAAATAAGAGGCTGCTATACCCTTTTTTCCGCAGGCACTGACCTCATCGTTCTTTGCTATGGAAGGTGCTGTAAGTGTTGCTCATTTTGCGTTGCGTAGGACATTGCCCACGCCGATGCCAGTTTATAGGGTGGACCACAACAGAGGACAACACACAGAGAGAAACATTCATGCCATGAGCAGGATTCAAACCCTCAGCCATTGGCTTCGCCGTCAGGCAGGCTAATCACTTGGTCAGCTGGATTCTATACCGCAGGAGACATCCTTCATGGCCTCCTGTCCTGCATTGGTAATTTAAAGTATAGAAAAAGTTACTCTAGGTAAACAATGAGAAGTTTCAAATACTTGATTACTTCTCCACTGTGTAATCATGCCATAATTTGTTCGAAACTTGTAAATATTTTTTTCTGCATTTGAAACTTCATCATATACTTAAGATGTATCTCACTTATGTAAAAGGAGAATTTGCCAGAATGATTTTCTCTCGTGGTATAGCATCCTTTTAAGTAGTCACTGAGGCTTTAAACTAAATATACCTAACATCTATAGCTATTATTTCTCATAAAAAGCTCCACTGCAGCATTGTTACCTTTTCTTAGGATTAATAATATGAGAATATATTAAGTTGTTTGTAAAGCAATGCTTTTTTATGAAAATGAAAAACGATTTTCTTAGAGTGAATAAATATTTTATTGAATTATCTGATGTACAGGGTGCAAAGTTGTCCTTCATTAAACATTTCAATAAATGTTTGTGATTTTTCAAAATTTTTGTTGAAGTTAAAGGAAGAATAAATATTTATCTAAAAAATAATTGAAGTTGATAAAAAATAATTGATTGAATTTGAATAAAATATTGAATTCAAAAATAATGTAACAAAGTAAATAAAAAAATGAACCACAAAGTCTTCGTAGCGCGTCAACTACGATATTAATTTATAATAGTAATTTTTTTTTTTTTTTATATATACTTCCAGTGTTCGAGACAATTTCCCTTGATTTGATAGCATAAACGCATTTGATGGGGGAGAAATGTATATTATAAAAAGGTCTTACCTCTCTACTCCCCCCTCATCACTATCTCATACTCTACTGTTTTTCACAAGATAATTCTCGTTTTTTGCTACTACTTAATAGTTTTCCATGCTTGGACTATTTTCTCTCCTTTCTTTTTATAAAAAAATTAAGGAAATTTTTGCTTAACTTTAAAAAAAATTATCTAATTTTTCACGATTCCTTTTTCACTTAACTATTATCAATTGTATATTTGCGAACTCATGTTGGTGTTGTACAAATTGCTCCCATTAGAGAATCAGCATCCTTAAATTTCGATTATTTTAATCTATCAAGGATTTTACGAGTTGTTATTCGCCGGTTTGCATTTATTAGTGAAGTCGGTTATGAAAAAATACAATTAAGTCCTCGGTTGGGAGAAAACGAAATTCCTTTCTGAACAACACAATTTGTTTGTTCAAAATGCTCTCTAACAGTTTTTTTTTCTTCTTCAAATCTAACTAGATATGTAAAGCAATACTATTTTATATTTAAAAACTAAGCTTACTATGTTATGAATTTATTTTGCTTCTTAATAGTCTTAATCATAAAAAGCATTTGCAAAATGTATAGGGCTAAAGAATCTATTGAACTATTTCACATCGTGCATTTTTAAATTTTACCAGTTCTCATGTAAAATATTGCCTCTATTTATATACTTGTGTATTATAAAATATTTGCTAAATAGTCACCTAATGAAACTCTGTTTATTTGACAGATATTACTTTTTGTGAACTTAATCTTATTTCATCAAAACATGTTGCTCGCAAAAGTTGCATAGTTTAAAAATAAAATCTAATAATGTAGTGCTGTTTCTAAACTGTAAGTATTATATATTCATCTAATTAAGCATATCATGTGAAAAAGAAGGGTTGGGATACCTGGAATTTAACAAAGTGAAGGAGAAAGTGGTCAAAAATATTGAGGAAAAAAAACATAGGATATTATTTAAGAACAGACCCCAAAAATGCAAGCTTTCGAGCAGCCAATCAACGAATCATTGTTTTAAGGAATCTTAGAATAGACTATAAACACAAATAAAGGAGACAAGTTTAGAAAAATCGCATACTTTGAGGTTTATTGTTATAATACACAAAATGTACAGAACTGAATCATACATATATATTCTTTTAAATCTTTTGTAAAAAATAAAATCATTAAGAGGTTTCACTTATACTGTACATTATATACAATTTTTAAAAGAGTTAAGAATAACAAAAAATTAAATTTCAAAGTGCCATACTTTTTAACTTATTCCCCCACATCAGCATTATTATTATTTACAATATTCTACACAATCATACAAGTTCCAAGCAAGAAATTATACTAATTTACAAACATCTCAGAATACTTTCTTATAGAAATTTTAACGTTCATCATGAAATGTTATTTGTACTTCAAGCTATTGGTTCTAAATTTTTTAAATCAACTGCACATTTTTTTGAGCAATTTGTGCGATGAAATTAGAATTGCAAATTCTAAAATAAATTAGTAGACCCTATTCCAAAAAGAGCTTTATAACTCCAGTTTTGCAACATTAGTTTTCATACATTTATTAGGAAAAAAAAACATTCATAAAATGTTATATTCAATTAAACTAAACAATTTGAAACATGTTATGGCATAACAATTGTTACAATTAAATGGAGCGTTAAAAGTAATGAAGAAACAATTTAAATTATTTGCCTGTTCAGTTGTATAAAACAAACATCAAAAAATAGCTTTGAAAAGACAAATTTCTTAATAAATAAAATATTCATATAACATTAACAAATGGAATTAATAAAGTATAAGCCATTATTGCACACTAGATAAAAAATCTAGAAATAATACAAAAGCCATAAAAAATAATTAACTTTCATAATAGGTATAGAGAAGATTAAACAAGTTCTTATAACAGACTATAATAAATTTCATAAAACTGCTATAAACAATGATTTAAAAACATTAAATGAAAATTTTATTGGTTCCAAATCTTCAGGACACAATAATAGATTTTTTATTATTATTATTTTAACAATAAAAAAAGTTAAGATATTAAGAAATATGACATTTTTTAAACGCAAAACTTAAAAATTATTCTATCAGCAAAAAATTAGGAATAAAAATATTTAATGTTTTTAAGCACAATCTTAAATTTTCTTAAACAGAAAACACAAAATATTCATTTAAACAATAATTTAATGTGATAATGGTGCAACATTTTTATTTAATGCAGTAAACATTTATTTTGTTACTCAACACTCCAAAATAATTAGCAGCAATAAATTGTTAAATGAAAATGGCAAGCTGATGTTTAATTCTAGTGTTGTTTACACACATGAAACTTCTATGTTCACAATTTCCAAAAACATCAAGCTTAAGATTAAATTGATAATGAATTGATTTCCTCCCCCATTTTTTTTGCAATTTAATAACTATTGTTGTATGAAATCTGCTGATTAAAAAAAATAATCTTTAATGCACTAAGTTTAATACTTGAGAAAGTTAAAATTATAAAAAAAGAATTTAAATTAGAAACTTAAAAAAATAGACATTCTAAGTTGTCTTATAAGAAAAAAGTTAACATTCAAATTGACTTTAAAAAATAAAATTCCAGGAATGAAAGCTTTAACTGCTTCATGAAAAAAAAATTCCCTTAAGTGAAAATTTTAAATTTTATCGTCTGGGCATCTACTATAAAATGTTTTAATCCCGTTTCTTTAAAAATTGACACTTTTATATGCACAGTAACTCACAAAGAGAATCATAAGATAACAATGCTTTTTTCTTCATGCAAAGCGAAAAAAATTAAAGATTTTTGAAAATTACTGACACTTAATTACTTAAATTATTCACACAAAAAAAAAATCATCACAATATAACTTTTTCAAAAATAAAATGCTTAAATAAAAGACTGATTTTTATTGGTCAAATTTATTCCAATCAACTCTTCTAGATTTGATTAAATTTTAGAATTAACGCAATAAAAAAAAACAATTGTTGCATAAAGACTGATTAAATATTAGAAACTTTCCAGTAAACTGGCATAACTATTTAAGAATCTGCTTTTGGGAAATGTGAATATAGAAGTTCAACAATTCAAATATCGAATGTAAACAGCCTTGTATACAGAAATTAGATAATTCAAAAAAAATTTAAATTCAGAAATTTCCTGAATTTAAATTTTGTCTGAGGAGTTATAATTTCTAAAGATGCACCAAATAACAATTAATTGTTCTTAAACTAAGAATGTTTGACAATGAATGCAACTGCATACCAAATATTTAGACCAAAATACACAAGTAAACTTTGCTTATGTGTACGTTAGTTAAAAGTAGTTTCTTTCTCAATTATCAAGTGATGTAAAGGTAATTAGCTTAATTACCAATAATTTTTCTCTCAATTATTAAGTCACATATTTAAGATAATTTACTTAGATACATACTAATACAAATTTTTTGAACAGTTTTTTTTTTAAAAATTAGATTTTCTTTAAATTAGATTATAAATAAGATTTCTGTGTTTCAAATTAGATTTAAAATTAAAAAAGGTTAGGTTAAACACAATTATTATTTTTAGGTTTTTTTTCTTTTTAATTTATAGATTAACCTTTTGCAGGCAAAACAATGTATGGAAAAGGTTATGCAGAATTGCTCTCTGTTAACTCTTAATCTTATATTTTTAATTAAACATTTTCAATAAATTAGTAATAATTTTTAAGAGTTTATTATAATTAGGAAAGTGAAACTACTTAGTGAAATTTTAATATAGTCAGCAAACAATGGTCAAAAACCGAGTATTTGGTGCACCTCTAATATTTTGATGAATTGCGTAAAACATTTACTCAAACTCTCTAACAAAAAAAGTCCAAAATTATTTAAAATATATATATATAGTATGTATATTTATATATATTCTGATTTCTCAGTCTTTTTCGGCTTGAGGTAGTTGCATATTACTGGAATGTTGCGTGAGGTCTGTGCTGACTACATCAAACGTCTTGTGTGATTTGAGGTTGGTTTTCTTGCATGGAATGCAGTTCTCATAATCTAAGTCCTGAGACGATGGGCTTTTTCCAGTCTTTCTACGATGCTTTCGTTTCTTTGAATGATGATGGTGGTGGTGATGGTGATGATGACGATGGTGGTGATGATGATGCCTGCGATGCTTCTCCTTGTATTTCTTATGACGTTTTGTTTTTGTCTCACCTCTCTCTTTCCCTTCTTCTACATCTCTGTTGGATTTTGTTCGAGAAGCTATTTTTCGCTTTGAATGCTTTCTCTGCTTTTTCTCTGATTTAGAATAATTTAAGGAGGAAGAAGGTTGGTGGTTTTCGGTGGTGTTTGTGACTTCTGTATTTTGACTAGGTGATAAAGAGTAATCCATGAAACAACTATCATCACAAGAGGAATCATTGACACTCGTACAACTGGAGTCTTTGGATTCGTTTTCATTTGGAACCCCTGCAAAATTAAATAAGATCATTTAAAGACACGATCATACCATCATTCTTTTACTTTTACTTTTCATTTACTTTTTTTACTAAATTTCGATCTATTATTTGCTTATGTATTTTTTTGTAACCATGGTATATTTTTTTTTGTGTGCCTGGCAACTTTGATGCATAATTTCTTTGTTTATATTCCACATGGCTTCTTGCCTGTCTTTGTGTTAATTGTCTGTGTAAATATAGACTGAAAGAAGTAAAATCTCTGAGAAAGAATTTAGAATGTGTCCTTTAAGTGAATTGATGCTTGACGGGCTTGGCTTACTCGAAATAGAACAGAAAGAGCAGCTGCTAACGTAAACAAATGACACGTTTCGACAACCCATCAGGATCGAGATACCCACACTACGTCTCTCGCAGGTATCCCATTGCAAACGATAAATGCGGGTCAACATAAAATATCAAATTAACATTCGAAAAAGTATTCAATGTAATAAATTAACGTACATAAAAATATTAAAAAAATTAATTTACACATTTACATTAAATAAAAAAGAATTTTATTGAAAAGATTAGGTGCCTACTGTAAAATATTTACGATGTGATGGATGAATAAACAAATTTCTTTAATATTTTTAGAAATTTCAATTTGAACATGATCTTTTCTTTTCAGTACAAATAATAAATTTTCAATCTATGTTACAGATGGAAATTCCTTTTCTGTGAATACAGAAAGTTTTTATTTGATTCAAAGGCTTCGATGCCTACTACAAAGGTACCACTGGTTACGATTCTGTTTCTATTCTTTTATCATTTGCACTTCATCTATTTCTGCAACTTAAATCCTTTTCATTTCAAAACAAAATAACTTCATTTCTTTTTCAAATGTGGGTGAATACAAGCTTCAAAAATAAACCAGTAATATTAACATTAAAAGAATGACATTTGTGACGGGTTCATTAAGAAAAGACGATACATACGGGAAAATGAAAAATTTGGGAATATCATCGAATTATCGAGGTTCGGCTGTAATTCAGAAACAGCTTTTACATCCAAATAAAGAAGTACAATACAGCATATGAAGTGAAGGCTACTTCAAAGCATGTAGTATGTATTTTTGCACCTTATATATTAATTTCAATATTTTATTATATGCACTTTTAGGTGGGCGGGGGGGGGGGAGAATACAATATCATTGCCATACTGATTTTTGCATTTTTTAAAACAAAAAAATGGGACAGAAAAACCAAGTTATATTAATCTCTTGTGGTAATTTTATATGAAATTAAAATAATTTATTTTAGATAAATTATATCAGATTTAAATTATATATTAGGAAAAAATCAATATTGACATATTTAGGGCTGAGAGAGAGGCCATACTACAACAATTTCCTAATTATGTCAGCCACATATATCTCATTCTGCTTCAGCAAAGACAGTATTTTACATGTTTTGAAACATACTGTAATATAATTGTACTGTAATTTGTAAATAATTATAAGTCTCATCAAACCAAATAAAAACATGTTTATTATTTTCCCCTTTGTTTCCACATAAGAAAATGCATCGACTCTGCCACGCTTAAAAATCAAACAAAGGAATAACTAAATTATGAATTACTTTTGTGTTTCTTTTTAGGCGTGGAAGACCGCAACCTTCGAGGTGCTTTCCCAGAACAATTTTCCTTGCATTTTGACTCTGATTGAAAACCTGCATTTTCTAGCCTTGAATCAGTTCCACCTGTGTTAATTATATAAAGTTTAGATTTTTTAAACATCGACAAATCTTATACTGAGGTGAATTTAGAAATAAATCCAACTCACTTGGAATAATATCAGGAGGTATGAGCCTGACATTTTTAATAGGTATTTGGCCGGAATCACCGTCGTCAAATTGAACGAAAACTCTGGGTTCTGACCAGTCTGCACTGGGACATGGCGCTACAAAATTAAAGGGGGGAAAAAATCAGACAAGTACAAGGGGAAAAAGCATCTTATGCAAACACTTTTTTAAACTTAAGAAAACATTTTTTACAAACAGGAGAAAATCTTAAATTACTGGGTGAATGGAAAAAGTTTATTTCCCAGATTAAATTAATGCAAAAGAAATGCACCTAACTGAGACAAGTTTTATTAAAAGTCTTATTTCTATCTTAAAATATGATGCCTCCTTATGAAAAAAAATATAATTGACTTAATCATTCAAAAGTAAGTTTTATATGAGATGAATACACAACAATTAAGTTTGCATATTTAAACATAAATAATGATTCAATAACTTAGATTTAAATAACCGCACTTCAAAAAAATATTTTCTTCAATTTATTAAAGAGAAATTTAAACTAATTCAGTGTTTCCCAACTTTGTTGGGTGGTTGATCACATACTAAAACATCTAGAATCATTTAGTGACTCATCTGAATATAAAATTGTATGTTAAAGAAAAAGGAGCTATTCATTCACAAAATATCTAACGAGGAGACTGAACTCTTGCTCCATATTTTAGAAAACATCATAATATACGGGTAAGAAAACATTAGCTAATTCATAAAAGATATTACAGTTTCTTTCTCTTTTTAAACTTTATAGAGAAGTTTGGGAAGAGTGCCGGTAAAAACTTTTTCAATCTAATACTTTGCTCAGTGAGATTAAGTTTTTATTGAAAATAAAGTTGATTCCTAATTTGAACAGATTAGGAAAAACTAACACATTTACAATTATTTATTACATTAAAAAAGTAAAAGAATAAACAAAACAGAAAATCCGTTTTTCGAGGCCCAGTAACTTATCGAATTCCATTTAGTAATTCTGAGTAAAATAATGTAAAAAAAACTAAATGTAACAATGCTACAGAAAAAAAATTAAATATGATTAACGAAATAAACTTCGTAAATTAAAAATTACAAGCATGGTAATCACATTGGCTTGAGACCAACATTTTAAGGGCAAAAAAAAAATTTAACCCAAAACTGGTAAAATATTTATTCAGTTACAATATTCTATACTAGTAATTTATTTAGCACAATTAAGTTTCCTTAAAAAAAGTTAATAAATTAAAGTTGACACAAAGGTAACAAAATAGAACAAGCACTCCATTAATAGATCTTGTCAATCAGATGCAATGAGCAATTGGTTAAGGAATATTTAATTAGATTCTCACCTTTTCCAATAACACCAGGATAAAGACACCTGTACTGTTGGCTCCAATATGCACAAACTCTGGTTCCCTCAGGCAGATTAGAAGTCACAGGCTTGGATTCAACTATCTGTCACACAGTAAGCAATATAAGTAATTAGATGTGCAAAATTCCTTCTTAAGATCTTAAGAAGAAAAAAATTAAGGAAAAAATTATGCAAATAATTTCGATATAACAGAGATTTACCAAAACTATGATTTATTAAAAAATTTCTTTCATTTATCCACCATTCAGCAATAAAGCTAAATTCCTTATATGAAACCAGTTGCACAAACAGCTCTATAACATGCTTCAATAATTTTACATGATCACAGTCCAAGTAACTTAAAATAAATAAACAAAAAGTTGGTGAAAGAAATTTTCACTCTACTTATTTAAAATTCAACTTTGGTTGTTCTTATGCTTTAGAGAATTTGGGCAACCTTTTGCAAAGTTTTGACATAGGTACTTTATGCACGAAAACATACTTTTATTAGAATACCGGGGCAAGCAAAACATCGTACAGAAAGAGTTTGATGTTATTTATTAAATTACTTACTGTTTGCGTTAATAGCTCTTCTCTAGTAAAAGTATGAAGCTTGTTTCCTCTCTGTCCATCTAAAGCAATGCCATATCTAAAAAATATTATTCTAAGTTGAGTTAAGGTTTTACAAATAAAAATAAAGTTATTACCTATTTTAAGGATGTCTAACCCTTTTCCAGAAGAGGGCAATTAAAGAAAAATTGACTTTTTGAAACAGCAATAGAGATTTAATTATTTTTTACTGTTTATAAACTACATACATCTTCAGTTTTTAAATAAATTCTTAACCATTTGTTTTGAACTCATTGTACTGAAAGAAGATTTTTAATAGAAAGAATTAAAAATGTGAGAGCACTTGACCCCTCAAATTTTAGAATTTTGTCATATTTTGGCTATTTTTCAAAGTTTATGTAGTTATGTGATTTCTAGTTGTAGGGAGCAGTATATATAGATCATTAAAACCATTGATCTTTAGGCCACATGTTCTGCATTCTTAATCGATCTAATAAATGAGATAAAAACTGCTAGAAGGTACAGTTTGTGCCCCTTTCATGCAAACCTATTAAGCCTTAAAACTATCAAGATAGCATTTTAGAGCATAAAAATCTGATTTTTTTTTAGATCAAAACTAATTCATAAAACATTTTAGTTTTATAATTGGTATTAAAACTTGGATGGGTATGTGCATAATGAATTTCTTAAAATAGAATTAAAACAATAAGTTTAATTAAGGTTAAAAAAAATACAATTTATTTTTCTTTTTTACTTTAATTAAACTTATTTATTTAGAGCTTAATTTACTTAATTAGAGCTTATATTAAGATTTTTAAAAATAATAATTCATTTACCTATTAGAAGTAATACATTCTTTAATGTGACCAGCATAAAATAATCCTTCTTCTAAAGCTAACAAACGATGACTTTCTACAAGATTTTCTATAGTTAACTTGCTTGGGTCTGAAACATTAAAAGTAAAAAACAGATATAAGACATATTTGATGATATGAACATGATATTCATTTAAAAGAAAAAAAATATTTATTTATATTCTGTCAATGGCTGTCATAATCAACCATTAAACACATTTTGGTTCAGACTAAATGCATTTTAACTTATTTTTATTTATTTATTTATTATTGAAAAATAACTTTTACCTTTTCAATTATTCAACTATTAAAAGACTTAGACAAAATTATTAACTAAAATGAAGAATTTTAACTAATTAGGTGCTAGTCATGTATTTCAACCCAACCGAATGATTCTAATCGAACTACTAACAAGTAAATATTTCCCATTTCAATATAAGAAAGGTATTTCTATTTTTCTGTAAAATAAGCTAGTCTAGTTTTAAATTACAAGCATGTATTATCAAAAAAAAAATGTAAAATTTAAAATTCTTATGAAAATACATCTAGTGATTAAGACATCTAAATTGCTGCACATTAAATTTTTTTAGAAGGAAAGATATATTACCCGGATAACCTAGGGGATTTTCAGCAGAAGTTTCACAATTTTCATCAGTTCCCAAGAATTGACCTTTTTGCCTCTCTTCAACCAAATGACATTTTACAAACGCATCATACAGATCATCCGGAACACCATCCTAATAAAACCAAATAAATCAGTATGATAAAACAAATCAAAAGGTTTTTCCTTCAACATGTTAATAAATATAGAAACACCAATAAAAAAAACATGAAATTACCTTAGCATTTTCTTCATCTGAAACTGAACCAGATGTATCGAAAAGAATACGGTTGCGCAAGTGCTTTGCTATTATGGTCTCTGTAAAGATAAAAATATGGAAGTGTTTATCAAACAAGTTTATATTTTAATTATCTTAAGCAAAATAATACATTTTGCATTTTATTAATTTTTAATTGCAATACTATTTTATTAATTTTATAATTAATATTTTATTCATAAATTTGTAATATTTTGCTTGTATTTTTTCTCATCATTAAACGTAGAGGTAAAAAATTATTAATGTTGCAAGTTCAACTGCATCATGTTGATTTATTTACTGGTGCCTATAGAAAATGTCTTGTTAAGATTTCTCACAATACATCAATCATACTCCTACTTAATAATATGCAGAAAACTGCATTGTTAAACAAGAAAATCTGCAGTTCCAAATATATTTTTTTTTGCTCACACAATAAGCAGAAATTAAAAACTTCTCTTTAAAAAAGACCCTCATTACAAATAAAATAATAAAACTTAATTACTTTTAATTGTTAGAAATTCTTGAAAAGCTGGAGTACAATTTAATGGCCTTATAGCCACACTGTGCTGAATACAAACATACATTCAAGAAAACAATGTTATAAATAAAATTATAAACCAAAGAAAAATAATGTTTAAATAGAAAAAATATAATTATTTTTATAAAATGATAATCTTACCACTCATTTTCCCTTGTTTCGATGGTACATATCTTTTAGGATTGTCAGATTTCCTTTTACTTGGAAGAGCTTTGGAGAATGATGCTAAAAGAAATAGATAAAAAAAAAACTCATAATTTAGTCTAAAGTCCAATTTAATCTTTTAGTTACTGGTCCTTTGAACCAATTACTAAAAAATATAACTAGCTCATACACAATTTCCCTGGTCTATTTACATGTCTCCATTAGATTTTAAACAAATGTTAATAAAGAGAACATAAGATTCTAGTCCCTGGGCACCACTAATAGTTATTTTACGCTGACCAGGGTCAAATTTTAGTTTTTTTGGACGGATGGGCCACCTCTTATTTTGAGTCCTGATAAAATTTTGTTACGAAAGATGTTTTTAAATGTTTCTTTTTTCTTAAAACAAATCCAATTATAAAATTTTTAAACTCACCTAAGCAATCAGAAATAGGTTCTGCTTTCTTGATTCGACTCTGCGATGAATGACGCAAAGAATACGCTTTTGATTTTTTAATATTTTCTGGAAGACTGCTATCATTGACTGAGCTATTGTTCACAGATGCCTTTGAACTTGCATCTGAACTTGAGTCAACAGAATGTTCCTTCTTTTTCTTCAACCTGGATAACCTTTTTTGCTGATGGCGTGTAATATTCTTAGAATACGACGATACAGACAATCTCTTCCTCTCAATGCTAGATCGCAAAAATTTCATACATTTCCTGCCTGAACTTCTTCGTGTGAAGCGTCTTCGGGCACACATGTCTCTAACTTCGTCTTCGGAAAGTATTTCGACGGATGATTCTTTTTTAAATGATGCTTGACAACGCTTTGGCCTCCTTTTTACTACATCACCTTTAATAGAATTCTGTAAGAAATAAAAAACATTTTTCTTTAAATCAGTAAAAAAAAATATAACTTTGATACATAAATAAAACTTAACTTATATTCCTTTAATCATCAATACAGTAGAAGAGCTTTATAACATAAAACTTGAAATGAAAGGCTTTGGACAATGTTACATAGATAATTTTATTAAACTAAACAGCTAAACATTGCAATATTAATGATTAAGATCAATATACTTTGAAACACAAAAATATGAACTTGCATATTCATTATTTACAGAAAAAAATGTTTATTATCAAGAGAATTAGAACTAAAAACTGATAAATTTATCAAATTTGCTTAGTTTCAGAGATTGTTAAGTTTTTGTGGTTTGTAAAATATTTAGGTTTGTAGAATAAGATTGTATAGAACTTTTACTGAACTTAGTTATGCTAGACAAATCTCTAAATCTGATGCAATAAATATTAGGAAAAATTTTTTTTAAAGTAATATTAATAAAAAAAGGAAATATAATGCTAGTTCCTACAACTTTTAGTACACATATGTATTTTAAAAATCTAACTTTAAAATTTCACATGTTTTTTGAATGACTGATTATAAATTCAATCATTTTTATTAAACGTGCGTTTTCAGTATGATCATAATTATATTAAACCATGGGCACTACACTAATGAATTTAAAATTACTAGTAAGTACATAATGAATACAGGTAATACTTCGTACTATGAGTAATAACTAGTTTACTAATCATAAATAGTAGTACACAGTATGTGAAGTGCATACAAATCAGAATGCACTATGTACTTATTTGCATGCAACTGCTACACTCCAGTTTGCCAACCTTACCAAAATAAAAAGCAGGAGATATTTTCCCAAACAACGGCAAAATTTTATAAATGAAAGTTTTAAAAATAAATGAAAATATGTCAATACGAATTTATTAATCATTGTGCTTATGATTTTTTAAAATATATCTATCGGAAATATTTAATTCTAAACCAACAAATATAGTTAAAACTTAATAATATCACATAACTCATGCGAAAACAAATAAATGAATTTATAATCATCAAAATTTTTTATTATTTAACCCTTTGCATTCTGAGTACTTTAAAATGCTGTTTGAACTAATCCAAGCACTAAATTGTTTATAATACAAACTGTATTTTTAAAATCCACCAAATAATGTGGTTACTAATTATTAAGATACAATAATATTAATTTTACAGGGGTGACTTTTGATATTACATCAAAGGTGACATCCAAGTCAGGGGTCTGTCTAGGTTTTTTTAAAAGGTACCTATTTTGTGAAAATTTAGAAATAATTTGTGAAAATTAAAAAATTAACACATGTACACAATATCATTTTAATTAGTATTTAACCAAGTACTCGAACACTTAGCATATTGAGTTAACAGTATACTGAGATAAAAGAAAAGATTTCTAATATTAACATACTCAGACAAGTTTTGACGTTGTACTCGGTTAATACTGAGTAGTTGTAAAAATTAAATATTTATAAGTATAAATAAAGACGAAGATTTTTATCAATGAAAAAAAGAAATATGGATTTAAACATAAATTTATACCATGCAATCATTTACTACTGCTAACTAATATAAAAAGACAATTGTACCAAAGTTTTAAAAGGCATGGAGGAAAATTTTAAAAAAAGTATTTTGTGAAACTACCGTTTTTCTTAAAGTTGAATTTGTGAAAGTACCGTTTGATCGAGCGGAGAATTTGTGAAGGTACCGCTAAACGGTAGTAAATTTACCCTGGACAGACCCCTGCAAGTCAAAGGAGTTTAAAAAAAACTTAAAGGACAGCGTTTTAGTCATCTTAAAAAGATACCATGAAAGTTTTTCCAAACAAAAAGTTCTTGGTTTTTGACTGAACAGTCAGTAATCTCTTCAAATTTTCATTTGAGTCATTTCATTTTATGTGGGTTTAAGTGGAAACACTAAATACTCCCTTGCATGCTGCATCATTGCCTTTTAGGATTTTTTTTTTTCAAGTTGAGCAAAGAATGCTCTTTTTTTCTATTTTTTTTAATTTTTAAATCAAGAAATCTTAGTTTTTTTTTTTTAAGAAAATCTAAAATTTAATGAATTTTAATAAATTTAATTCCTACTAGTTTATAACAAACAAAATGATATTAGAAACACAATATATAAAACAGTTTTTTGATACAGTTATAAGTAAAATACCCTTGAACATATAACAAGGAAAAGTAGTTGGTGTAACTTGAAAAGTATATATCATAAAAATTGAAAAAAAAAATCAATAGTGTAGTGTACGACTTTTAAAGTTTCATAAAAAGAAAAGTGGAAGCTAAATCAACCTTACTTGCCTGAACATTCTGAGGTTCAGTAATAAAAATAATTACCTTATATTTGTGTTCTGGCACTGATTTATTTCCATCCTCAGTTTCAGGAAAGCACTGATCACTATCAAGAAGTCCATTTGCAGAACTGTCATGTGCATCATTTGTTTGACTATTAGAATTAGAATCTGATTTTTGAGCTAAACTTTCCCTTTCCAATTTGGGACAATCTTTCATATACATATTTGCAAACCTACAAAAATAAAGCATATGACAGATATAACTAGATTCAAATTTGAAGTTAACATAGTAGTAGGCATTATAATTTCAATAAATGAGTGTTTGTTAATCGACTAGTTTAATTTATCGAAATGTAAAGTAAAAATGTTGTAGTAGAATCAAACCAAACAAGGCCAGCATACTAGGTTTATGTAAAACAGGCATTCAATAGAGAAATTTTTAATATAACTCATGAACATGGTTAATTTATTACAAATTTACAAAACATTTTATTTAAAAATGCATCAGAATATTAGATAATTTTGACACAAAAAAAAAATATTAGCCATTTTAAGAAGCTTAAATTAATTATGAAAAAATATACATTAACACTTCTTTTTGAATATCTAAATTTAATAATTCATTAGTTTTCTCAGTTTAAAAAATAGCAAATATTATTAGCTTAAAATTAATAAGAATTATATGGATGGAGAAGGGAGTGTGTAAAGAATGTTGTAAACAAGATTCTAAAGTAAACGGAGTCGTGAAAACCTGCAGTGCATCCTTGTTATATTTACTAATTGTAATGTATAGTAGATCAAGTCCAACTTTATTCGTAAAAAGGCTCTTTCCAAAAAAAATAAATTATAAAATTACTAGAAATGAACTTAACTTTCGTACAAAAATAAGTTTATGTTTTATATTTAAGTTAGCTAATGTTTGTTAATTATGCCTCATATACAAAGATGAGGCATAGATTATATCCTCAGATATTATGCCCACATATATTCATATACAAAAAAAAAGTGGGAAAATAAGAATTTTGTACTAATATTTTTTTTTTTTTTTTTTACTTTATAAATGTCCAATNTTTTTTTTTTTTTTTACTTTATAATACAACATAATTCTCTCTAAAATGAAAAGGATAAATAACCTAAACATTGTTGGGGTTTTGCCGTCAAAAACTGGTTTTTGACATGACAGTGATAAAAACCGTGTTTTTACCGGTAAAAACTGTCTAAAACCTACTGATTTCTTTAATTTATGGCATACAGCGGACAATATACTATTTTCACATAATTGCCTTTATAAATGAATGTTGTAAATGATTGCTATTGATTTTGCAACTATATACATGTATTCTTATTGAAGGATATACATTCATATAGAAATATTGTAATATACTTATTGAAAATAGTGATACTTACTTTTATCATTATAGCTTGATTTGCAAAGGATTCAAAAATTTGCATTTCTTAATTGTTAGAAATAAACAAACAAACAAAAAAGCTTGGAACTATTAATAAATTCAAGAACTAAAAAGAAGAATTTAAAATTTGGCATTTCTTAAATATTAGAAATAAGCTAAACAAAACTTTCAAAACTTGTAACTACTAACAAACTCTAAGTCAAGAATGACTTGACATTCTTCAGTAATGTAATATGCCAAACAAAATGATGCTTGGAAATGTTGAAAATTTTGTTTAGTATCCTAATATTTTACTTCAAATAGTATGTTTTGATATAATCATGTTGGGAAAATGCAAGAATCTGTTCTTAAATATCTTTTAACAACTTTTTTTCTAATTTTATTGCCCAAAAATGAATTAATTTTAAATTATAAGCAGTTAAACTCAAATAAAAATACAGTTTTACCAAAACTATGGGTTTTTGACAGAGGGGTTTTTGACATGACAGTAAATACCATGGTATAAACCGGTAAAAACCGTCATGTGTCAAAAACTTGCCAACCCTGAACATAAATAAGGAATAGTATAAAACAAGAATTTATATTATAAAAGAAAATTTTAAAAAATGAATATAATACCTCTTTTTGGGCTTCAATCGCAAAAGTTCTTTCTGTTTCTGCTTATATTTTTTTTGCAATTCCAAAAGTTTATCGTGCATTTCAAACACAGTTGAAACTGGTTTTTCACTCACTTCATTCCCTTGCTTTGAAAGTTCATCTTCTGGCCATTGTTTTGGCTCTTCTTTTATTTGGGGATAATTTGAACACACGGGTGAATCTTTTGGCTCAATTTTTATCACGTCGAATTCCGAAACCAAGCGCTCCACAGCAATGGTAGATAGCAATTCGAGTCCTCGGATTTTCAAAGAATTACACGGGTGATTGCATTTATCTTTCACATTTGAAGCATCTTCTGTTTTTAGATTTGAATTTGTTTTTAAAGGGCTAGATACCTCGAATGATGTGACTTTCTCTATTGTATCCAACAAAAGATGAAGTCCATGATTCACATTGAATTCGGGCAACGGTTTGCTTTCTTCTTTATTTGCTTCTAACACATTGCTGTTTTTAACTTCCACATCAGTCTTAGCATTTTCAACTGTGGTTTCTGTATCCATTGCAACACAATCATTCTTGTTATGAGCTTCAACATCTTGTGAGGTAATAAGCGTATTTTCACTTTCCTTTTTTACCCGAGCAAGATCACTTTCGAGCACTTTGTTCTCAGATTCGTTTGTAGAAGGTGCATCTTGAGGTTCGACTTTCACGGAGTGCTTGAATTCCACATCACAGTCGTTCAGATTTGCACTGCTCTCTAAATTGCTTTCAGGAATATCAAGCGTTAGAGGTGATTGCTTTGGAGGTACAGTGGTACTATGACACCTTGGAGGTATTATGTTAATTTCTTGATTTTGAGAGGTAGGCACACTTTCTCCCAAACTTTCATCTCTAGACTGATTCTACACAAAATGAAATGAATAAAAAAATTAAGATAAACGGTGAAAAGAATACTTAGATAAAGCAATATTTTTGTTTATTTGAGTAAATTAACTTTATATTTAAGTAGACTATATGAAGTGAGGCTTTCTTCTTATATGCAAGCTTTCAATTAGCAAAAAGCTATAAATCTAAAATAAAAATTTTATGAACTCATTTAAACCAATCCTGCATGCTCTTTACACTTTTAGCTTTTAATGAGTAGCCAAGAGAGAGATTTCTAAAGTTACTTATAAACTTAATAACAGGGGTCTGTCTAGGTTTTTCTGAGAGATACCTATTTTGTTAAACTGTAGACATAATTTGTGAAAAATTAAGAATTATATTAAAAAATCAGCACAAAAATATGGTTAAAATATGGATTTATCGTTCCTTAAGGGCTACAAAAGTAAAAATTTAAGAAAAAGTATTTCGTGAAACTACTGTTTTTCCTGAAGTTGAATTTGTGAAGGTACCGCTAAATGGTAGTAAATTCGGCCTGGACAGACCCTTGAATAAACTAATACTTCTATAGGCATTTGGTACTATCTTCTACTCTAAAAACACTCTTACTGTCACTTAATACTTTTATCCACTTAGATATGCAAAATTTAAAGATTTAGCAAAATAAATTAATGTTGTACATTTAAAAAATAATAAAATAAAATATTTCCTAGATTTATTTATTTATTTTTTTTTTAATGGCACTCATCCACTAATCTTGTTATTTAAGAATGGAATTTAATAAGATATAATGAATTTTCCTTTAACATAAATATAAAAAAATAAAATTTAAAAATTATAAAATACTTTCTAGAAATGGATTATGTAAATGTAGAATTTGATGGGGGGGGGGAAGGTGCTAAAATTGGCTATACTATGTAAAACAAAATCAGAATTTCAAAGCATGATATACTCTACACAAAAAAAAAAAATCTGAAATAATAAAAAGAAAGCTCACTACTTTTCATTTACATATTTATCAGGTGAAATGCACTCCCTGAAAATACTTGATATGCTAAATATGATTCATTTCAAAGCACAATTTTATCTGTCTCGTAGAAAAGAACTGTTTAAATGCTTCTTTAGAGCAACAAAATATTTAAAAATAAGTTTTATCAAGTGATCAACCAAAATAATTTATAAACCAATCAAATGAAACATGGACAATGATTGAAAAGTTTTTAAACAGTTTTGGAGATATTTAAATGATGACATTAGGAGAAGAAAATTAAATTATAAAAAATCAGGCATAGTTAATTTAATCAACATTCAAAAATTAAAATAGAGTAGACACTGACACCTTTTAAAAAGATGTATAAGGGCAAATTAGGTGATTTAGAATAACAAAGAATATTTTCAGCGATAATACAAGTACTATCATCAGTAAAGAGGAGCAGAAATATTTTGGCACAGTAGATTGTACTAAATTTTATAGAATCTAAATTATCATCTTTGATTTTGTTCTTATACATATTTCTTTATTTAATATTGCAAAATAAAGAAATCCATTTTTAGTTTAAGCACAACTAAAGATAAACAATAAAATTTTCAAACCAACTGCAAAAAATTTTATTAAATGAAATATACACTGTAAATTTGTATTAAAACATAAATAAAAACACAAAAAAAAATTTCATAAGTAAATTGAAGAAATCAAACAATTTTATGTGTTTCAAAATATTTACCTTTAAGCAAAGAGGACTTAAATTAGAAGTTGGTTGATGATTTTCTATTCTTTTCTCAGAATTGTGTTTGCTAATATGCTTCGCTATAAAAAAAAAAAAAGAGAAAATATAAGTATTATTACAATTCCTTCTAGAAGGAATTTTATTATAAGCACTGTTTTGAAATATTTCAATGGATACTTTTTCATAAATTTATAATTTTTTCGATTCAATATATTATTCAAACAATTTTATGAAACCTATCAATTGTCTATTTTATTTTCAATGAAATGAAACTTAGAGAAACACTTAACAAAACAGTTTAAAACAAATGTTTCATTTTTGATCATTTTAATTGGTAAATTTAATATTCTCTAAATTCTTGATTCTAAGAAAAAATTTTAAATATATATATATATATAATCTTAAATAAATTTGCACAATTGGTTGAATCTATTTTACCTAAAATATATAGATATAATTTTAAAAACTTCAATTAAAAGATAATTTTATTACTACTTGCAATTATAAATAGTAACAACTCACTGTTAAATTATGATTACTTTTCAAAATCAATTTTAATAATCAGCTTCAATGCTTAGCTGTATTACGACATATGTGAAAAAAAGTAAATAAGTTTTTTTCTATTTTATTTATTTATCTATGATTATTACTGATTTTTTTTTTCACATTACATGCATGGGGAAAAAATAGTTTCTTGTAATTTGAAAAATAAGTTTATATCACACCAACTCTTTTCCTAAGTGTAATATAATTAGAAAACAATTACAATAGAAACTTCTTAGATTTTTAGAGTCATATGGTAAATATTTTTTTATAGAAAACCCAAAACAGAATGAAACATTGCGAAATTTTTTTTAAACATCAATTAAAGAAAATATTGAAAATAACTTTTCAAATCTTTCAAAATTTTATGTTTCACATATTGATAAATTGAAATTCCTTTTAAGATGTCTAAAATAAGACAATTGAAGACTATTTCTCTCAAATTATATCAAAGGAATATGAAAAGACAATAGTTGAAATGGTATTACAATGATATTTACAATTAGTCATTTCAATTTATGAATATTTTTTAGAAATTAGTAACAAAATCTAAATAAAGAAGAAAAAAACATCTTATATGCACGTGTCTATTAAAAAATAGGAGTTCCTGCATTATTTTAAAATTAAGAAATAATTTTAAAAAAAAAATTTGTTTAGATATCGTTTGATTTGAAACAAATTCAAATTTGTTCGATTACTTCGCTATAAATTGATAAATGACTATCAAAAATATTGAGTCATTTCATTACAGCTATGATTTGCCTTCTTTTATCGAAAAAAAAAACTATTATTTTTAATGTAATAATAGAGGTGCCGTGACTTCATTGTGTTTAAACATGAAGTTAAAAAAAAATTACTTACAAGATGAAGATTTATTTTGAACACCAATGATCTGGACTTCATCATCAACGTCATAATCTACTCTCTTTTTCACAGGAGAGCAAATGTTAGGACTTGATGAATGAACAGCATATTTGGTAACAAGCATATCAGGTGGTGCAGTTTGAGCAACAGAAATCAAGTTATCATGCAACACTGGAGAGGCATAATTTTGATTCCGAGAAGGAGGTTTTGCTGCTTCTGGGGGTTTGAAATAATTGTCAGGCGAAATCATTGGCAAGTCATTGTAAGACCACGACTTGTTAAGAGAACACGGATTCTGGTAAAAACTATTTTGGTAACTACTCACATCTGACCTAGATGAAGAGTTTGTTAAAATAAAAGGGCTAGAACTCGAAGCGTACGACGATGCCAAGCAATTGGATGACGTTGACGGACAACTAGACATGAAATATTTATCTTTTGGCTCTATCTTAGGCTGCATCATTGAGGTAGGGATATTCAAGACCTCGGGGGTCTTATTTTCAGAAATTTGAATAACCGAAGAGCTCCTGGAGTTAGATTTTTGATATTTGCAATCGTACGGATTGCTTTTTTCGGGCTTTACTTTAGAAGAACTAGTCTTTTGCTTATGTTGTTCTCTAAAAGAAGTATCACTAATTCTTTGAGTAGTCACAGTCTTGTGAAAGTCTTGAATGCCGTGAAAATCGGACTTTTTCGAAAAATTGCTACTGAAATGGCAATCACTCAGAGGCTGAAGAGGATGCTTGGATTTGCTAGAGTTCAATGAGGGTGGTTGTTTGTGATCGGAGTAGAAGTGCTCGTCTCCGGCTCTCTCGATGGAGTTCTTGAATTGCATAGAGTTTTCACTTTCGTAATGAGAAAAATAAACATTCTTGAGTGGTGAGGCATTACAGTTGTTTTCCTGGGTTGCAGGCATAGATTTTTCTTGAGGTGGACTATGGATGTTTCCTTTTAATGAATATGCAGATGAGAAACAAGATTTATCTGTGGATGGATGCATACTTGAGCTGCTTCTAATATCAGAAGCAAATAAATAAGGCTCATGACCTGAAGAAACTAAAAAGAAACACAAAATTAAAAACTATTTTCGACCCCCTTTTTTTACATAGAAAAGATTACACATCTTTTTGAGCTGTCTATCCTGAGCCCTTAAAAAAATATGATTTCCACTGAAGCATATTAATTTCGTATTTTTAATATGATCATAACAGTTGGCCAAGAGTGAAAACAGTAAATTCTCGTTTAGAGAATTCTAATCTGTTAGTTTAATTGATTAATAATATCTCACATATATTGTAGCTGTGAAACATTTATTAAAAAAACTTTTTTTTAAAGACTTAAGAATTTTAATTACAAAACATAAACTGATTTCTCATGAAAATTTCGATTGTCATATTGTTATACTGTTATTTTTTTTAATGGCACTTAATGCACTATTGCAAATATTTATCTCATGATATAACAAAAATAGAAATGAAGTTTAAAAATCAATAAGAACATTAAACTATATCCTAAAAAGTCAAATAATTAAATTATGCAATTTATAAGATGGCTTACAGTGTTTTCACTACAGTCCAAGAACGTGAGAATCTCACATATTTTTTTTCTTTTCTCGCATTCAAAAATTATTTACGCGATAAGTTCGAGCACTCTATTACTACTTCGCGCATTATAATAAATTTTAAAATGCGCGAATCTCTCGAATTTTGGAAAAAATTTCGTCTTCCGCAAATTTTAATAAAATCCGCCATTTTGAAAAAGACATGAAAACAGCTATGACAAGTGTTAAGAAGAAAAAAAATGAGTCCTTTATAATAAGTTGTTTAAAGTTAGCCCCATTTTTAGCTGTAAATTAATTACCGAACTCCCTCACCGACAATTTACAGCAATTTGTAAAAGTTGAAGTCTGTGAAAACTATGCTGGAAGACCTAACAAGAAGTATGAACATGGAAATAACTCCAACGAACTTCTATAACTATACTATAATTGAAAAGTCTATACTGGCAAATGTAGAGGATAGGAATGTGCATGCACAATGCTACAAATTTAATTAGTGATTCCGAATAGTTCAGCATCTGTCATTTAGCACCCAAAACCGAATTAAAACAAAATATTGTACAGATTTAACTGATGAGCATTTGAGCAACCTAATGAGAATATCTGATGAAAAAGTAGATATAGAACATTTTCCATATGATGATGTAATAAAAATATTCAATGGTTTAGAAATTAGAAGATGTTAAAAATGTATTATAATTAAAGAAATATTTTTTTTCCCAAATCTATTTGTGTTTTTTTAATGTTTAGGAATCTCACTTAACTTTTTGTAATCTCACCCTGTTTTTGAGAAAGAGCGAGAAACTCTCTCCCATTTTTTTCTGTAATGAAAACACTGACTTACTTGCATTTCAAAATGTAACAATTATTAATTTTGCATGACAATCAAAAAATTTTTTTGCTTATTTATAGCAGTCTAAACCTCAAATTTTAAAGTATATTTTAAGTCAATCTACAAAAATGCTGCATTTTAGCATGCTTGGATTAGAATTGTATTTTAGAAAAAATGAAATGCTTGAAGAAAATATACTGATTTAGTTTTAAGCATTCTTTATACTAGACAAAACTATATAAAATTTCTTGATGAAAAAAATCAGCATGTAATAAATGAAAAAACTATTTTCTTTATTGTAAATTAATCAAGAACTGATTTTTTTTATAAAAAAAAAATAATTTCTCTCTCTTGCAAATTTAAGCTGTCTTTGAATAATTATGAATACGATATGTACATGTACATGTTTAGTAAATCACAGAAAATATATAAAAAGCTAAACTACTGAAAAAAACATATAGGGAGAAAATGTAATGTTTTAAATATTTAAACAAAAGCTTTTAAAAGCTAAATTAAGAGCACAAAATAAATTTTGAGAAAATTCAGCATATAGAATACCATTATTATAATTTTTCCTTACAAATTAAAATCGTCCAAGTTTTGCTTAAACACATAAATTATTTTTAAAAAAATTGATAACATTTTCCCTACATTTAACAAAATATGATGTGTTTATTAAAAGCAAATTACCCGTAAGGAGTTCTTGTTTTGGCAGACTACGTGAAACTGAACACTGAGATTTTAGCTTGCTTTCAACAACACAGCAAGCATTTAGATTGTCAGACTTTGATCCTGATGAACACATAGACATACTAGATGTGTTGACATTTGGAGAAAGTACTTTCTCTTGCTTAAAAACTCGCTGTGTTGACTCTAGAAGATATTTTAATAAAATTATTCATTAGCATCTTTAAAAAATAATTAGTAATTTTTATTTTAATAAACCTAAATGTAAATAATTTTTTTAATCTTGGAAAAAAAATATTTAAAACATTTATACACAATTAACAGTTAAAGCTATAAATAAAAAATTATATTTGAATGATATTTTTTCTAATTTTATTTTTTCCACTTCTAATTTAATGCTACTAAATATGCAAAAACTTATAAATTACTAAAAGCTATTTTTTAAAAATTTAAAATAAGATAACTTTAAAATTAGCAGTTAAAGAATAAAAATTTAATATTTTTAACAAGGACTATAATATTTTCCAATAAAACAATAGAACAAATATCCTTTGCAATATGGTGATACAAACTGATATATAAAAACTTCTATTTTTTAATAAGTAAAGAGTGATTACGATATTATTAATATTCAAAATTACATTGTTATTAATAAAATTGGATTTACAATTAAAACAAACTCCACTAAGAGTTATAATTATTCACCTTTGGGTGTTTCAGCTAGATGTGAGTAATGGCCCAAACCTTGAAGAGAATTTCTTAAATTTGAGGTCAAATTCTCACCATGTCTCAAAACTGGATGTCCGAAATACAAATTATTCCCATCAAATCTTCCACAACCTACAAATATTTAACAAGGATTAAAATAAGTCAATGTCCTATAGTTACGTAATAAGTATTGAAAAAAATCAACAGAAAAATAAAAATGAAATAATAATTTAGAATTTTATTAAGAATAGTTAAATCTTTGAAAAACCAAATATTTTTTTATTTATTCCTTTTATTTTTTCATTATCAAAGCATACATTTAAAACTTGAAAACAAATTAACTTGAACAAATTCATGAAACTCATAAATGAATAGTTTTCTATTTTCATTAAAATTAGAAACTTGATGATCTTAATTTTCAAGTCAATCTTGAAACAGGATTATATCTACCAATATTTTTTTTTAAAACTTATGAACTTTAAATCTTATAAACTTTCAAATGTGCTTTTATTCAATTTGATAAGTTGCAAATATGATTTACTTTTCAATACAATCCTTTCCATTTGCATGTCAATATTAATATATATTAACCTAAAAGAATATGATAAATACTTTTATATAGTAAAGAAATATAATAAATAAAATATTCAATATTATAAAGTCAATATACTAGAAAATACTTCAGAAGAAAATGCAAAAAAAAATAATAAATAAATAAATAAAACGGATAGAAGCTAAAGTAGAAAAAAAATCATACAAATACCAAACAATATACTCTAAATATGATTTAAGGTATAGCAAATAAAATAAAATTGGACACATAGTGGAATGTAGCTTTTGTTTTAGGAAGAGGAAAAATATTCCTTTGATATATCGTCATTTAGCATAATTGAGTAAATTTTTTTCATCGCTATATTACTTTAAATACATATATAGAATTGTTAAAGTAATGGTGCTTATCTACATATCCTATTTACCTACATTTTGTGCTTCTTGATTACGATGCATAATGTGTTAGGAATAATAATCTAAATTAACAGGAAATTTTAATTTTGGACTAATTTTAATCAATATTGATAATCTCTTTAAATAAAGGAATACAATATTTCTTGTTCATTTTTATAGATTTTACACAACAATGCTATTATTTTTCTTACTAATTTTTCTAACTTATTTGCTTTAGTTTGATAACCATTTCAAAATAAAACAGTGCAATAACAAAACTGGAATATTAACCTTACATTTGTGTTTAAATAAGAAAACATTAAACTTAAAATACAAATTATGTGAAAGGCAAGTGAAAGGCAATTTTATTAATGAATTTACTATATCATTTCAAGATTAATTTTCCACAATAAAATTGTAAAAACACATGGCTTGCAGAGATTTATTTTTAATTTGAAAAATAGAAAAACATTTTGACTTGGGACTTAATTTTTTATTAGAATCAACAAAATTGAGTTAACTAAGAAAGTTCTGTATTTACATCATCAACAAAGTTTCAGAAATAAAAAAACACAATAATCTTTTAACATATTGATTCATACGTTAAGAACAAATCATCAACAAAAATTAATTTATTAATTAATTTTAAGACAAAAATAAATTTAAAAAACTTACCATCTGGGGGTGGTGTTGGAGGCCAGAACTGCCCAAGGTTAGGCATGCACCCAGGTTGCAATCTGTATGCAGTTGGAGGTAACGAGTTGTTATATAATGCTCCAAAATATGGAAAACTTGAACCTATTGCAGAAAAATAACAAAATTCTTTTTACAAAATATGTGATATTAATTACAATACAAATTATTAATAAAATACATAGACAAAATTAAATAAACATTGTTGCAAAAAAATTTTTTTTTAGAAATTTCATTTGAATTATTTTTAAGAACATATTTGCTATTTATCTGCAACCTATCCTTTCGGGGCTAGAAGAAAACAAACCAAAGCTTTCCAAAAGTTGGAAAACATTGATGCTTAGTTCAAAAATTGTTTAAATACTCTTAAAATTAATATAAAAGTTCATATTTACAGGCAAACAGGATGTGCTTACTTGTATATATGTTCCAGAATTCTCAAAAATAAAAAATTATAACTTAATTATTTTTAATATTTTTTTTTTCTTTTGGTGGAAAAGAAAAGGCCATATTAGGGTTACCAGAATGATCTCTTTACCACAATTTTTTTCAATGAAAAAATTTATGCTTTAATTCAATTTTTTTTTAAACATTTGTAAAAAATACTTATAATGATGAAAAAAATTAGATTTTTGTTAGGAATGTTTACTTTTTAAAACAATATCTTGTTCACTTTATACAAATCTGAACTTTCAACGTTCTTAAGAATATTATATGATAAACGTTCTTAAGAACATATGATTTCCAAAAGTTGAAAACTTTGATGTACAGTTAAAAATAATTTTGAATACTACTAAAAATAATATGAAATCATTTTTTTTTATCAGCAAACAGGATGTGTTTATCTATATATAATGCATGTTCCAGTATTCTCAAAAATAAAAAAATAACTTAATAAAATAATTTTAATACATTTTTTCATTTATTAATGATTTTTAAAAAAATTACCATTTTGTAAGGAATATTTGCTTTTTAAATCAATATCTTTCACTTTAGACAAATTCAAACTTTTAATGTTCTTAAGAATTGATGAAATTTGAGAATCTCCAAGAAATGATAAAAAATATTAAAGTTAAAACTATTTTATTAATAACTTAAAAATAAATGCTAATAATCCATTTTAATATTAATTTACAATTTAATTACCAAACACACTGAATCATACAATAAATTTTAATTCTAACTAAAATATTTTCCAAAATATTAAATTAAGATTAGTTTAAGACTAATTCAATCAATTTTTAAATTAGTCTTTTTTGCTTTTTATTTTCAAATAAATATACAGGCATTTAAATAATACATTATATTTGAATTCTATTTACAAGCAATTCTTTTTTCTTTTAAATGCCAAGTTATATTTAGTTTATGCAGCTTGAATGTAAGCGACTTTCTGTAAAAAAACAACAACAATGTAGCCTTTAAATTAAAAGATTTTTTTAAGCATAATTAAATTATATCTCATGATTTAAATAAAAAATTTCAAGTAGTAGTTATATATGGATTTTGCTTTATTTATTGCAAATTTTTGGTATTGTTTAGAATAACAAATTTTAAACTTCTTCTATCAATAACAAAACTAAATACTTTTGCATATTTTTTTTTTCTTTTCAAATCTATACAGTAACACTTGTTTATAGTTGACTCCAATTCTAAAAAAAATTTATAATGATTTATCTGTAATAGTAAAATTGGAAAAAGAAAAACATTTCTCCTTAGAACACAATAAACTCTAGTTTATGTTTTATTGCATGAAAATATTTATAGGTGGGGTTATGAGGAATTTTAAGCTTTCAACTTTTTTCCTCAGAAAAATACTGGTCTTAAATATAGAATAATAGAATATATAGTAAAATGTTTCGAATACTATACACGTTTCTTAACATGATTACATTAGTGTGTACCTTTATATTTATTTACAGTATCAAAAAAAAATATAGATATATATCACAATTACACTTCTTTATTCAAATAGTAAGTTAAACATGTTCAGAATATCAAATTACAATTAAAATATAAATATGAAATTATGATTGAAAGCTTTAATGTAATGACAAGAATATTTAATGAGTAAAAAAAGCTATGTTTATATGAGTATTTTATATTTTCAGAATAAATGACAAATTTCCCTGTACATGCATTAATTCTTCTTCAGAAACCAATAAGTTAAGAATACTAGAAATTCTATTTCATAATAGTAGTTTAGCATTTGATAAAATATAGTTTTTTTTTCACTTTCACTGTGGTTAGTATAAAAAGGTGTCATAAACTATGTCTGACAAAAATATATAAGGAAAAAGGATTAGGTACTAAATATCTGCAGGTTTAGAAAACCATATTTATTGATAGATACAAAATAATATCAAAAAAGGTTTAATTAATTAATATTATTCATTCAATATTATTTATTTAATATTAAGTAGATTCAGTTCAAAATATTAAATACGAAAAAGAATAATAATAAATAACATAGAATAATGAATTCAATTCTAATATTAATTAGAAAATACAACCTAATTTTTTCACATTCCAAATTATACAGTTAAAATTAAAACAGGTTGAAGAATTCTTAAGACTATTAATAACAAATAATCTCCCTTTAAACAAAACAGGAATACAAATAAACATCTTTATTTAGAAAACAAACTTAATAGTTCGTTTTCAAAATTTTTAGGCATTAATGGAATAAACAAATAGAATAAAAAATTCAAAATTAAATTAACGAATTCAGAATTGAAAAGAATCTAACAACATTAGTAAAATTATTAATACAATATACAATAGATAATTTTATAAAAACTTACTTAATTCTGACATAAAAGAATTTACAATGGAACATTCAGAATTCTTAAGACAATACTTCCTATTCATCCACAAGAAAGACAAAACTAAAATCCGGATATTCTTATCTCTTTAAAATTTAATTAAAATCATATAATGGATACTATTATTGTGAAATTGAATCGCAATATTTTTTTCATATATCCTTGCTACTGAGATATTCACTCTGTGAGTCACTGAGAAAAACACAAGTGAGAAACAGATTCGACAACAGAAGTCAGCATTCTGGAGATCCGACTGATGTAACAAAAAATGACGTCACTATTCTTATTTATCATTTTTCTGGAGCTTTTGATTCCACTAACCCATAAGAGCTAAATAAATTCAGAACAACGCAAAAGAATCTTTTGATGATTTTACCAATCTTTTTTGAAACGTATTTAAAAGTGAAAATTTTTCTAGGAATGGAATGAATCATAATTAAAGTATAAATATCTCTATCGTCCATTTTCTTTTTATCGATAATATTATTTGAAGAACTTTTTTAATATTGCAATTATTTTGCAAAATAGTGAATATATTTTGTTATGATTTCTTATTTTTGTATTTATAATAGTCAAAAAGCTTAAATTGGTTTAAAAAAATAATTTGGCAATAAATAAATCTTCAGAATTAAACATACAAAAAAATTACAGAAAATCATATCTTAAATAAGTTTTATGATGATTCCTGCAGTTGAAATCATAAAATAAATTACTTCTTTATGAATGAGTTTGTCAATGTAACTAAAACATATCTATTTCTTATTTAACTGCCAAGTTAGAATCTATTTTTAATTATATACATAGAAAAAAATTCAGAGAAACAAAGTTAATAAGTTGTAATAAGGTATGATAATCAGAACAAAATAATATAACAGTAACATAAATTATAACGAAAAAAAATCTAAAGAAATTTTGAATGCAACTTTTCTAGTTAAAATACCGTAAACACCATTTAAGAAAGAAATTATTATTAAAGAACGTACAATGTTTAATTAAGATTTAATATTTAAAAAAAAAAAAGTGAAAGGCACACAAAAATAAGAAAAAACGTTTTTAAAGTGTTAACAATATTGTGAAAATGTTTGAAACTTAAATATTTTATTTTATTTACTGTTTGCATTCTGAAATCAACAAATGATTATCTTTATATTCTTTTTTTTAATTCATTATAAACATTTTGCTTGGATTTCCTAATCATTTACAGAGAAATAAATAAATAACTATTTCAATTATAATTTTTAATCCGTACATTTAACTAAAAATACGAAATCCAACATTCCAGTGCTTTCCGTCACTAAGGTTTTATGGAATTTTCATTTAGTTCTATAGTGTGGTTAGTATAAATTTGAAGAAATATAAAATTATGATCAAAAAAGCAATCTAACTTCATTACTTTAATATACTGTATAATTTCCCAGAACAAACATATACTTTCTAATAAAAAAAAATTTCTTAATGTTCATGTAATAATTCTTAATTTACATTTATACATTTTCTGGTTAAAATCTAATAGTTCTAATAAATAGTTTTAATTAAAAAATGTTTTCGGTGCAAAAATATATCTCCAAATACTGAAGTAACTTATTAAGATACGATCTTTTTTAAATAAAAAAAAAACATGAAGTCGAATTCGGGAAATCCCAGAAGTTTGTTTAATCATCTAAGATAAAAATTTCTGATAGGAAATTCTAGGAGCAATCTCCAACTAAACTCAATATTAGAACTTGCTTAGTGAGCAAATGCATTAAAAATGCAGAGCATAAATTAGTTCACTTATTCACCAATAGATAGCGCTTCTTCACAAGTAAGCAGCTATGTATCTTCCCGTAGCTCCGCCCACTTTTGACATCTGACAAAAATAAAGAATGAGGAAAAATAAAATAGCTTTAACAAAAATGAAAAGAATTAAAATTGCTGAGCGAATCGTATATTCAAAGTGCAAAATTTCGGAGAGTTTTCGTTGCCAAAATTCCAGTTATCTTTTTTTAATTCATTTTTTTTTCTTCAAATTGCAGTGGCAATTAAATTAATAAACAATTTTCATGGAGATTTAATACTAAGCTCAAATAAAATATAATTTTAAATGGTTTTTAACAGTAATAAAAGAAATCTCTACAATGCAAAATACATTTTTGTTTAAAATATTTTATTAAAAAAATCATCAACGTATGAAGAAATGCGTCATACCAATAAAGTTTTTTCAAAACTTTGCAATGCTCTCTTTGGTACAAAAATTACATTTAAAAGATTAGAGTTTCTATTTTATGATTACAGTGTGATTAATACTACCATCGAAAATATTGCCAATTCAAATCTCTCACAGTAAAAGAAGTTTTTGATACACACACTGCAATTAGTTAAGACTTACCACTACATATCCTCTACCCAATATAAAATAAACAAAAATATTTATCATACGTTTAGAACAATGAAAATATTTACACCCTATTTGCGAATAATTTGAAGATAGAATTCATATAGAAATGATAAGAGACTCACCAGGGTCGACTTGGTTTTGCCAGCATCGTCCATAGGGGTCGGAGGCTGCCGGTACAATGGGAGATATGGCGGCAGCAGCGGCAGGCATGTCGGCATAAGGTACTTCCACATTCCAAGCGAGTACTGGCGACCGATTGACGGCGTATACTCGGCCGTTCATGTCGCCCGAATTCTGGTGGTGGTACGTTCGAACCTCACCGAAGAGGTGGTTTTCGCTGTTCGACTGGCAGGGGTGCTCCGACAACGAAATTCGGCACAATTCTCAACGAGTCTTGTTGGTGATGTTCGGCCGAAGGACACACACATTCCTGCTTTAATTTTCGAAGGGTTAGGGTTACGGCGGCTTCACTTAAATATCAAAAATCCTACAAAGAAAAGAAATAACTCTTAGTATTCAAATTAAAGATCTCATAAATGCATGATTTATGCTTTTCAAGAAATTATTCATATCACTCCATATGAGTATTTACTTGAATGCAAAATTTACGAATTATAAAACTTAATTTTTGTAAGAACAGAATTGGAATCAATAATCGATATAAGTGCGTGCAAAATTTAATAATATGTTGGAGAAAAAATTCTATTATGGATTTATTAACTTTCATTTACAGCATAATTCAGAGTGACCCATATAATCCTTAAGTAACTTGAAAATACATGGTTTTATTTAAATTGTAAAAAAATTATAATTAGTGTTAAATATTGCATTGTTAATTTTTTAGAGGTTATAATATGATAAAGAAGTAATAAGCCTGAATATATAATGTCATGAAAATTAGCAGATATATTTTATCATTCTATTAATTATTTATCCTTTTTGTTTCCGATTTGTTGTTTATAAGTTCTTTACCATGTTTTAATAAAAAAATTAATATCCAAATTTTTACTTTTTATATTATTATCAAAATATACTTTTTTGTATTCTTAGCATGAGTTGGCTTTTCAATATTTACGCTAATATTGTTTATTTTATTTATTTTGTTCTTCACAGTAATTTTGAAATAAAATAAAAAAAATATTTTGTTAACAAGAAATGTTTGAAATGAAGCTTTTTGTGGGAAATCAAAAGCACTACAATTAATATACAAGACTTGTATAATACATGCATGAGTTAGCTTTTCAGTGGTTAATTAAACATTGCTTATTATTTATTTTTTAATTGTTGTTTCTTTTATTTTTTAATTGTTGTTTCTTTTATTTTTTAATTGTTGTTCCTTTAATCATTTTTTTATTTATTTTTAGTTTTTACAGTATCTTAAAAAAAAAAGTAACAAAAACGTCGTAATATAAATAAGAAACGCTGGTAATGAAGAAGCATTAGGGGAAAAAAAGCATTACCATGCAGAACTTGTGTAATACATATCATGCAGTGTTTATGAAAGTAAAATTATCATGTTAAAATGCAGGTAAAGAATGTTTTATGCAAAACATAGCATTTATTTATAGTTTAAAATCAAAAAATAATTATTTTTTCTAAACAATGTATACAGAATTTAAGTAAGAAAAAAGGTATTTTTAAAAACACGTAAACACATAAATGAAACTACTTGTAACATTTGAATATCACTTTAAAGTTGTGAAAAGTGTTGTATACATAAAGGGGTTGAGGCTTTGTAGTAATAAGTCACAGTTTTTTCCAAAAACGACATTTTGCATCAAACTGTCCAGTGGAATTGTTTCTGGGTAGGTATTTCACAAAGATCAAAATTTTTCATTAGATAATAGCACAATGCACAGAAACTTTTTCTTGCCTATGGATGGCTGTGGTATTTATTACGAGGAGTCTTAAAAACGCTCTTCTGATAATGTGGCTCATCATTATATAATTGCAAACCCTTAGTGTATACATTTTAATCATAAATAAAATTAAATAATTTTCGTTAAAAAAGGCTTTTGGTTCATATGAAATATTTTATTACTCTAATGATTATAAAAATTAACACTAATATTAAAAGAACAATAATGGAAATAATACATGGGCACAACATTCTATTAAAAAAAAGTGTTTTTAGATTCCATTCATTAACACTTATGCCTTTGAACTATTCGTTATGAATATTACTTTGCTATTATAAACGTGAATAAAAATATATCAAGCTTTTCAGCAATGAAAATTCACAAGGAATTGGTTTTCATTTAAAAGTTAAAATAAATAGCAGTATATATAGAATATATGTGTAATAATATTCTATGATGCGGATAAAATTATGATATGCAAGGATTGGATAAAAATATCGAAACACATCTAACTCACTTTATGTTAACAATCTTTCTTTTCGTAACAGATGCTTTGGATGATTTTACATGGCAAAATTGTTGGTACAATTTGAAGAATCCTGCTTGAAGCATTAGAAATGTCATTTTTACGTATGCAAAATTTGAATCGACCAAAAGGAGTGTAGGAAGTTTAGAGTTGATTTCCTTTTTCAATAGCACTATAGTTAAAAAAGCATTCTAACATATAGAAATTTCATTAATTGCTGGTATTAGTGAAGAAGGAAGAAGTTTCTAACTTCCTTTCCTTTCTTCAAGTTTTGCATGCGTAAAAATGACACCATTTCTATAAAGCTTCAATCATGATCTTTAAAAATGTGCCAACAGTTTTGTCATCTTCCAAAATATATGTAACGAAAAGAAAGATTGTTTGCATAGAGTATAGAAGTGTTTCCATAGTTTTGTCCATCCCTTATAGATAATTTAATAAAAGGTATAGGTAATAATTAGGATTTATATTGTATCAGTGATATCTTAAAACTATGTGATGAAAATAGCGTTAATAGTTGGCTCTTGAGCATTATAATTTATTATTTAAAACAAGGTCATAGAAATTCTTTTCGGAGTACTGTTAGCGTTTTTGAAATTCAATCCGATAAATCCAGGAAATGTTTTGCGTACGTTTTAAAGTCTTTTATCGATATTTTTAAAAAATTCACGGGAACAAAAATCCTGCTTAAATTATCGCACTGTATGGTAATAACGGTTTTTTTTTTCTTTTAAAGTAAATAAGCATAATTCTGGTATTTAAAACTAAAATATATGGTATTTAAATCATTCACTTGGTAATTTTTTAGTTCATATGGTTAGGGTTAGCCAGAAATTCTGGTTTTCAGGGTTGTTTTGATCATATTTTTTTTTCTCAGTGTAGAATTAGCAAGGTTTTAAGTTGTATGCAATTTTAAAGGTAAAATTGGTATTGAAAATTTAGCAGTAATTTACATTCATTAGCCATTTAAAGGGAAAAAAACATGAAATTATTATTATTGACAGTACTTAACTATAGGTGGATTTAACTTTTTTCTTTTGGTTAATTTAGCCTTTTAAAATAAATCTTTTTTGTGTCAACGAAAACATTTTAATTTCTTGGCTGTAGGTTAATTTCTTTTAATGGCAATTCAACTTCGCTCGCATAAATTAATAAAATTTTTTATGCAGAAAAATGTCAACAAAGATGCATTAATTATTGACTTTGGAAAGATACTTTTAAAATTTATATTTCGACACACAAATTTCAACAACTTGAATTGTTTTGAAAGTCAAATGATTATTATTATGTATTTGTTATTAAATAAATAAAAGGAAAGCACCTTCATAAGCAAATGGAGTATCTAACATGCATAATTACAATAAAACGAATCATTATCTCTCAATGAAGCAACAAGTTAATAATATTGGAGCAGTTAAACTGCAATTCAAAAATTAACTTAATATTCGTAGATTTATTTGAAATTGCAAACCTACATAACTGCAGTAAAAAGAGTTTATAAACTCTTGATATTGTGGAAGAAGTTAAAAGGAATTTCTTGAAATAAGAAATGTCTAATATTTACAAACTAAAATATAGTTTTATAAAATTATACAATTATTCATAAAATATCTTAAAATTCATAAACAACGGACTTGTTCTACATTAGTTTGTATTTGTTTCATAAATAATACAATTTTACTAATAAAAATAGAAAGGATCTAGCATGCCTAAAGCTACAGAAGTATAATTTCCTAATTTCTATTTATTACATAAAAAAAAAACTACATTTAATTTCATAAAAAATCTAATATTCACAAAAAAATGAGAAATATTGGAAATATTTTAACTAAGGGTTTCAAGAAATAATATTAAATTTCAAATTATATACGTTAGTTAATTTATGAACATTTAAAATAGTTATTGCCAAATATTTAGCAGCAATCTAACACGCATAAAACTATATAACTACAATCAAACACTTAAAAAGAATATTCTTAATAACAGTGCAAAAACTAGACTTAAAGTCAATAAATTCACAAAATTATCTAAAATTTAAAAACATGGTATTAAAACAGTTTGCATTTGTTTGTGAGATATTTATAGGAAACAAATAACTTAAAGGTGTTTTTACAAGAAGAATGGAATTAAAATTAAACATTAAAAAAATGTCTTACTTACTCTTAATAACAATGAAAAAAACTAGCCAAAAATAACAGAAAATAACTGAAAAAGTTAAACATTCATATTAAAGCAGCGGAAGTTTTGCCATTCTCTCGAACTACGCCTTAAACGACGATATGTTCAGTTATTACGTCCACGAACGGAAAATTTTATAATCTAAAAGAACTTTGCTCCAGTAATCAGTCTTGAGACCGTAATCTAATTGTTCCAACACTATCGTATCTAGTATCAACAGAAACTGTTAGGAACGTGTATATATATGAGGGGCAAGTGAATTCTTAGGTTTCAAGGACGTTTTCCTCCTGGACCCACTGGACACAGGGAGGGAACAGTGAGATAAGATTTCATGCAAAAATAAACAACTCCTTCCGCTCTAGAGTGAATCAGTTCACTAATTTAGTCACCGATTTTAATCATTCGGTTTGCAGTTAAATCGATTACGTATGAATTTTCTAATTCCCTATGAATCGTTTCCACGCGAAGATCCGTGATGCTCATTTGTTGTAGTTATCAGCCCGTGAGAGGCTCTAACTATTTCATCTGAGTGGGAATGTATGATAAAGGATCCGTGATATTTTTATTTAACCCTTTATAAGGCTGTATACCAGCTACTTCATTGGTTTTTAAATGTCCTGGGAAGCTATTTTCTCACCTGTGATCTGTGCGGCCAACAGTTAAGGTTAGCGTGGGGTCTAGAACACTGGGGAGCTACATTTTCTCTAATGCATTACATATATTTTATCACTTCCCATCGGCTTTATTTGTAGTTACAAACACAGAATTACTAGTTTATGACCAATTCATAACAGAAGGCAAAAATTTTAAAAATTTAACCCACCTTCTCACCATAAAAAATGGTTTTAAGAATCAAATTAAAATTAGGTAATAAGCTTAATGAATTTCTTTTTATAAATCTATTTTAATCTCAAAAATATTATAACGTATCATTACTAGAAGAAGAAAAAAAGGGTTGAAAAAAATTGAAAATTTATAATTGTTTTGGAATTGCACAGTCTCACAAATAATGGCTTTATATAACATCTAAATAGTTGGGTTATGGTAATGGGTAAATGGGTTTGAAGTAATGCAACGATAATCCGTGCCTTTTGTGAGGACGACATTTTAATCAAACTGTTCCTTAATATAGTTTAAAGATAGGTATTTTGTAAGTTAACAACAGTACACCGAAACATTTTTTTACCTATTTAGGCATCGTGTCATTATTATCATTATTATTTTGACAAAAACGCTCTCACAAATAGCTTTTCCGGACAATTCGAAAATGAGGCTTATCATTATATTACTCTAAACCTTTCATGTCTTTTATATTATTGTGTTTCGGTATATAGTAAATTTTAGCTCATAGGAACCGAACAGAAGAATGAATAAATTAAAAATGCATTTTATACGTTCTCATGAAAAAAAAAATGTGAAAAAGTGGTATTGTAAACTGATCGACATAATCACAGCATGATTGTTTATAGATATTTATTTTAAAGAAAACTTAAGAAAGGCAATTCATTAACTTAGAGTTCTGTAAGCATTAATTATCTAACTTTAAATTCAACTCTAAAAAATTATTTTCCCCTGCTTGAACCATAATATAATGCAGAATAATGAAATTTTAAATTAAGCCATAATTCCATTTAAGTTGAATTACTATATCGTGCATTTTAGCTTAAAAAACGTGATAATAAACAATATTAAGTTTACAGCAAATTTTAAAGATGTTATGGTCCAATAGGCTCGAAAAGAATATAAATGTTGTCTACAAAATATATATATATTTTTTTGGCATAGTTCCAATAATCTATAATTCTGTAATAGCTCAAAATGACTCAAACTTAAAAATAATAAGAGACAAAAATAGTTAAAAATTAATAACTTTTTCAACAGTGAAAATTCAATATCGATCTATCACTAAATTTCATTCTTTAATAAATAGAATATTTTTGAGAATAATTTTCCCAATAATATTCTGTACCGAATAGGAAGAATTGAAAAGGTAGCAATCATCACAAAAAACCTCATCGACCTCAATTTAAGAATTCAATTTATGCTTCACAAAGTTCCCACCCTTATTCTAGAGCTTTTTCATCCTACAGACACCCCTCCATTTTCATAGAAATAGAACATCCCTCTATCTTTAGGTAGGGAGGGTGGAAGGTGCAGGGCGGCAAACCGAAAGATCGAAAAGAGAACCCTCCTCTAAGGCTGTCAGAGCTGTCCGGGGCGGCGGGAGGCATGGCAGGAGAAGGTCCGCCCCGGGCATCCTGATGACCGCTAACGACTATTTCGTCGGAACGGGCCGCGTCTTCTTCTGCTTACGTCGATAATAACGGTTCGGAAGGACTCGCGGGATTTTCTTTGTTCTGTGGAAAGGTGGCCTGTACAGCGCGCTGTAATTTTATCCAATGCGGTTGGAAACTAGTTTTTTTTTTCTTTTTACCTTCTTAAAAAAAAAATTTCCCAATAACTCGCCTGTGAAGAATTTCTTGAAATTCGATGATTTTAAAAATTTCTTCCAACTTTCTCGCACAGTTTTATAATGTTTCTAATCAAGAATTAGTACCGTATAATAACGTTTTTTTCTTCCAAATACTCTCTGAGGGAAACAGATTCTGAGTTATAAACATTATTACTTCAACATTTTTAAATTTAATGTTGGAATTTTTTACTATGTTTTTACCTCTAACCAGCTATGAAAGAATTTTTGAAATTGAATAATTTAAAAAAAAAATTATGCTAAGTTTCTTGCAGAATTTTATATCGTTTGTTCATTAATTTAGGATTATAATTAAATGAGTCATAAGACATCGCCATAGCGGTGTGGGAAATGGATTCGGCCCTGATTTGTCTTTCACGGCTACCGTGGTTTTTCTTGTTTTGTTTTTTCACTTTTATTTATTTTCTATATTTTCATAGGCAACTTAGCGTTTTATTTTCTTTAAATGTATTTTTTTTTTCCTGTTTCATGCCTAGCGATCTACAGAGTGGAGGCCTATTTTCTATTGCTCGAGGCTGTCAACTTTTTGTTGAGGCAAATCATTGTCAAATTTTCATTCAAAAATCATTGTCAATGTTCAACTTCGTAACCTTGCAATTTTGAAACAAACCCAGAAAACAAGGGAGTTTCTGGATCAAGTATTAGGATAATTTTGCTTTCACGGTGGCAAGGGAACTAACTCTAACCCATGCTCAGTTTACCACTGATAATATCAGCACTGTGGTCGGTGCAAGCCGAGTGCTGAATTCTTTTCGACCAGCCATCACTGGAATTCGAACACGGGTCCCTTCATTGGGAGGCGTGCGCTCTATTCCCTGAGCCACCACGACTCCATTATTAGTCTATAAGTGAAATAAGTAACTGGCATTATTATACCTCGCTACCATTTTAAAATAAAATAATTTTTTTAAAATCATAAATTTAAAGCAGCTGGTGTTTTAAATGTTTCTATCGTCAAGAATATAATTCGAATTATAATCAGTTGAAAACTATAGTATTTTTTTCAGTACATTCTACGAAAGAAATATGTTCTTAGCATAATTATACATGGCTGGAATTTTTCAATTGAAGGCAATAAATATATATTTTTTTATTTTATATATTGAAACATATTTAATATAATCACATTAATAGAATTTCATACATTGGTTCAGAATATTTGTTTTGATATTGTTAGAACAACCCTATTATTATTTTGAACATAGGTTTAGAATAATGGAATCAACATTGTTTGGGCAATTAACATTGTTATTAATATGAATATTGAATCAGAGCTAAATATTTCAATGACAATAGAATTATGAATTATTGTTTTAGAAAAATAGTTTATTGTTAGGGCTATCAAAATCATGGTTAATATTTTCAGTTACGGTTAATAATTACTTAAATATTTTTAGATCAATATTATTATTTTGAGTATTGCTTCCATATAATAAGTTTAATATCGATAAAGCAATCAAAATTATTTGGAACAATGAATCTTCGTTTCATATTGTTACAACAATGAAATTATTGTTTTGCGAATAGTTTCAGAATAATTAGTTTGATGTATCTAGAAAAGTTCTAAACATTATTTTGAACACAGGGTCAGAATATGTATAGAAGGAAAAATCAAATTTTAACAGTATTCATCAAAAGAAATTCTTAACCAATTTAGTCCTCTAAATTAATAAAATCACAATATAATTATAATGAATTTTTTAAACAATATTGTTTATTAAACGAAATACACTAATTTAATCTGTATTTGTTTACCATATAGTATATTTTTAAATGTATAGTTTTTTCTTTCACATAAAAAACAAAAATGGCTACAAAAAGAAATATAGGTCAAAAAATAATAAATCAATAATCCTAGCTAACTGAAAAATATTTATTTAAAATCATGCCTACAAATGCGGAAAAAGAAGCATGTAATGTATTTAAGAGCTAGTTGAGCAAAGGTGTTTTGAAAAACCTCTCATTCAAATTTGTAGAAGTCATAAAAAAGTTCAATGATTACCCGTGAACACAATGATTACTTGAGAATTTTATAACAGTTCCCTTGAAATTCTCGCTCTTGCGTGATACTTGAAACCTTGGCCTTAACTCCAACCTTCAATTTGATGTTGAAATAAGTAATCAGGGGTAACGATATATTTTTTTTCTTCCAATTTTTTCAAGCGTGTTTCATTTTTAATCGGTTGTATATCCAAGTAAAATGGTGTTAATTGTAAGATGACTTGCACATATTTTTTTAAGAAAAATGCTAATTAAAATTTATTTCTAAACTGGCTTCTTTATCATCTCACACAAATGTTTAAAAATAATTGCGCTTGAATTTGTTAAACATTGAAATGGCATTTACAAGCTTAATAAATAATTAATTACAGGAAAATATAATAATGATTTTTCTTCTTAATATAGTAAAAAGCATCATAATGATTAACTTCTTCAGTTTCTATAAAGTGTAATAAAATTTAACTCTGTATATTACAATGTATTTTTTTTTCTTTCTAAATTTAAATAGAATTCTTGAAAGCAAATTAACATAATTAAAATACAAAACAAAAGCTATCATAAAGCAATTATAATAATAATTATTTAAATCCTAATAATAATTTACATTGAGTATGCTTATTTTAAAAACATCCTTATATATCTAAAAAATAAATTTAATTGCATATTTAATAAAAAAAATAAATGCATGGTCAAGCATAATATATCGTTTTCATTATTATTTTTGACAGAAAATTAAAGTTAATGTAAATTGATAAGCTTTAACTACAGTACAGTAAAAAAAACTAGTTTAGCATAAACGGTCTAAAGGAAGCAA